CATAGTAATGAGAGGGGCCGGGAGACTATCAGGGGTAAGGGTGTGATAAATCACATATGAGGATGGTATCTGCATACCACCAGCTTCTTCCTTACTATCATCATAGAATCAGAATGGTTTGGGTTGGAAGGGACCTTAAAGATCATCCAGTTAGAGTGCTGAACTCAAATGCATGGGTTTTAGCAACCACTTAATAAATTAGCTACTTAGAATTTCAAGGATGTCTGTAAACAATTATAGTCAATTCAAATAATATATTTTTTGTCATCCAGAAAAGGATTAGGTTGGCTTGCCCGTCTGAGAGTGAGCAATAGGTCTTGTGTGACACAGTAAACTCCAACATCAGTGTTAAATACTGTAATGGTTACAATACACTCCTCCAGGCTTTATATTGTTTGGAAAAAGCAACACAAAGTATTCCCACCAATTTCTGTATGCCTGTAAGAAAAGTACCTCCCAGATTATCAACATTTCTTGTTAATCTGGGGAGAAATCCTGGCTTCAGTGGAATTAATGTAAATTTACGCAATTGGTTTAGAGAACGTTTTATACATTAACTTTTCCCTCTTGCTTTTTTTTTCTAATTTCAGTTATGGCACTTGTTTCTTAAAGCCAAAGTTTAGCTTTGAAAAAAACCTCAGTTATCTGTAGTAAACTTTCCAGCATGGGCTTCCCCCTTTCTGTTCCCTAATTTTCCAGAGATGGATTTCAGCAAGTCGCAAATACATATAGGGGATTATGTATACAAAACCTATTCAGCATGCTCACAAAGCAAAATGTGTTTGTATGTGCAGAAATGTACAGAACAAATATAAGATAACCTAATCCATCTGAACATTATAAATCATAGTTGATTTCTGTGAAGCAGAAGTTACTTAGTTGCCTTTGAAGATACCATCACAACTTGGCAAGATCTTTAGGGAAGGCTGTATTCCATAGGACTCTGAGTATGTGCACATACTGAGGAGCCTGGGAAACTGATCAGAATCTTCCAAGATTTGCTATTTTTTGAAAATCATGCTCTGGGATTCATTGATCAACTACATTAGCTCTGCATAGGCTTTTTGTCATTGGAAATCAGCCTTGATGGGCTTTTCATGATTAATAAAGATTTGGTCATAGTTAAGACTCAAATTCTTGAGGAGTACACCCAGTTTTAAATATTGAGTAATTAAAAAAATGTAAAGTAAGGCTTTGTACTGGTTATTCCCTAACTCTGTTAATTGCATGGCAAGTTTCAACTCAATTTTTATACACAGAAACTTCTCACATTTTTCCATTTGCTGCAGAAAGGGTTCATGGGAAAGTTATTTCTTGTTTTATTTCTGCAACATTTGTATTTAAAATTTATTCCTTATTATTTTTTTCCTCTGGGTCTTAACTTCATTTCAGGCCAGACACCCACACAATAGTAAGGCTTTCAAAACATACTCATATGGATTTTCTGCCATTTAGACAGCTATTAAAAACCTTATGCATAACATCTTGTTTTTCCAGCGTAACCAAAATGAGGCATATATCTGATAAGGAAAAGGAATTATTTTACCAATTTAACCAGTATAAAGAATTATCATGTGCAGATGCCTCACTCATATGCATAAATGAAAATATCTCAAATTCCATACAGTAGAATTCAAACTACTTCTGCCAAAGTTGTCATTATTTTCGTGTAACAGGGTTGTTAAAAGCATATCTCAGAGAGTAAATCCTTTTGGGGAATCTTGCCACAAAAAATTTGAGTAAGAACTTTATTTTATTTAAAATATTCAGAGAGCTAAGTATTGAATGTTCCACAGACCAGGAATGCATAGCATAGTTTCCTGCAGATCAAGCAAGCCAAATTCTTTCTGTTATAAGTAACTACAATTCTATTAGTCTCGGTGGAGCTTTGCCTGTATACACAAGAAGCAACTTTTGCTCTGGATGCTTTTCACTGGTTTGGTTGGGTTTTCTTCTTGTTGTTTCTGTTTGATTAGTTTGGGTTTTGCTGGGTTTCATTTGTTGGTTTTTTTGTTGTTTTTTTTTTATAAAAGGGTTCCCGTTTGAATGCTACATAAGTTTTCAATAAGCTTTCAAACATCATAAAAATACTTTGTAAAAATACCAGGTAACTGTCCAATGTTGACTGATATTTCCAACTGGGATAATTTCAAAAGAAAAAAGATTTTTAGTAACTCATGGAGTCAAACCCCACTTGATTTACGAATCCATACATACTTAACAACTCCATAAATAAAATGTTTATGGTACTGTATTAATGCTACTATATTATACTACATTCTCTCACCTACCCTTTCTAGTACTCAAGTGTAACAACTGATTTTGGCTGGAAGATATTTACATTCACATTTCACTCAGTTCATGTGGAAGTCCAATATGAAATTTTACTTTCATGATCATTTTGGTCTGGTCAAAATAAATTGTTTTCTGAACTATGCCTGTCTTTAGTAAAATTCATCTTACCAAACTCACTGTCCTGAAGTCTAAAGAATTTTTTGACTACTGTATTATCTGACGATACTAACAGCTAATTGAGCAGTATTAGCAATTTCTATAGGCCTGTGCCAAATAAAAGCTTCCTGGTATCAGTGAAGCCATGAGTGTCACCCAACTTTCAGAAATGGTGCTTGTATAAATAATTTCACATGAACAAACAGCATAAAACCATTCACTGATAAGACAGCACAGAAAACTTATCAATCAAAACTGAACTAGTCTTTCTGTCACTAGAACAGTCAGCTTCAAGATGAAGTCTAAATCAGATTTTCGAAAGACAGAAATTCTAGCAGCATCTAGAACTGACCTAAATAACTTCATTGTAAGCAGCATAACACTGCCACCTACTGAGCCAAAGGAAAACGCAGCAAGAAGTCATTTAAAGTGCATGGTGGATGGCAGCACAAAGTTGAACTGGTGTACTTGCTTGAGTCTAATTGTGCTTTTTATTGTTTTGTTGGGTGTTTTTTTTTTCAGTTACAGAGCCTCCTGCTTCATTTTAAAAAACAGCACTATTTCAATACGTTTTCTTTTCAATAATATTCTTTTTCCATATTCAGCATAAAGTTTACATCAGCTTTTGCTGTGGGGCTCACAGTACACTCTGGTGTGGCCATAGTGTAGATCAACCATTTGGATTACCTTGCATGCAGTTTTGACAGTCTCACAACGTTGTGATAACCAAACCTACAGTATTTCATTCTTTACAAATTCAGTTCAGATGTGTGGAAGGGAGGGCCCTACCAAGTGCCAGTTCTACAGGTTTCTCTATTATACCATCCTGCAGAATTCAAGGACATGTTTTTCTGAGACAGGCAACAAACGGCCTGGTGATTACTTTTTAAGCAGTCTGAAAGCCTCTGTTTATGTGCAGTCTTCCACAGCCTAAAGAAACAGTATTTGTTTCAAATAAAGCATGTACGGTTTGTAGAGAAAAGTTTTCTATTGCTTTGTTTTGCTTTTCAAAACTGGAAGACACATCTTGGCTTTGAATAAATGTATAGCAGCTAAATAAAAGCTGCCTCTGCAAGGCTGCAGACAGAAAGCAGCCTAACATAAACTGTAGTTTCATTTCGTGTAATACAGATTATCTCCTTAGGGACGCTTGTGTTCACTGCCAGCTGTCGATGTCCTGCACAATTAAACTTCTAAGGACGTAGAAAACCCATTATGGACGTCTTAAGTTTGCACAGAAGCCAATGAGCGGAGGAGACGTATTTACATTATGGTTACTTGACAGTTTCCTCCCTTAAACAACAACAAAAAAACTCCAAACAAGCAATCAAACAAAAAAGAGTTATTGCAAACATTGTTTATGTTGTTTCACACAAAACTAGATTTTACCTCTTGTTTCCCAGACTCAGGTTGGTCTCTTAGAATGCACTTGAAGTATGTAAAAACTCATCATCAATACACCTGCCAACTGGATCTTTCTTCCCTATAAACTTTAAAAATCAATAGATACCAAATAATGGATTAATTTTAATCAGAAAACAACTACAGTAGGTGCTATTTTCAGACCTGCTGCATTATAGAGTTCACTTTTATGGATGATCCTGCACTTACTGATACATCTCTCATCAGAGTTACTATTTTTGTTGCTCCTTCCCCACTGACATCGCTAATGCTCCCAGTGACGCTGCTTTTGAAGCCATTTCCTTTTCTGCTGATGCTACACATTCTGCTGAGGTAATGTAATTGCTGCGGTCATTTTAATGGCCCTGAACGGCTGCTTGTCTTGCTATCCAAAGTACTTCTATTTTTATTTTCTGATATTATACCCACCCGAGCCCTGAAATAAAAATAAAGAAGCAGTGACTGTCCGCACGCAGGCAAGTACCTCAAGGCTCTGAGTGACAACAAACGACAGGGAGATAAATGATTACAAATGACAGGGAGGAGATTAGACGGTACCGCTGCAGCAGTCACCCCGTGCAGCTGTCTCTGAGCTCCAGACCCTGCCTCAGAGCTGGCACAGTTCCTGCCACCGCTTCCTTCCTCCCGCATGAGAACGGGGAAGCGTTGGGAGGGTGTCACACCACCGACTTCACTCGGCAAAACAACGTGACAGCGGTGTGGAACACGGGCAGGGGCCCTGCTCACCAGGGGAAAAGCGGAAAACCCAACAAAGCCCCGATCCCAAGCGCAGTGGGGCACGGGAATCAGAGGAAAGTGTGGGGGACTCCCCGACCCCACCGCACCTCTGGGGAGCCGCTGCCTGCTCCGCAGGAACCTCGGCAGCACCACCGCTCTCTTCCTTCAGCGTGGGGCCACCTGCCTCCCCCTCGCTCTCCCTTTGCTCTAATACCCCTGACCTCCGCCGTGGGGCAGGCACTTGCCGGCACCGACCCTTGAGCACCGGCTCTCCGGGCCGTGAGGGAGCCGTGAGGGGCGGGGCACAGGGCACCGGCTCGGGGCCGCCCGGGAGGGGCGGCGGTGTGGCAGCGGCTGTCCTCCAGGGGGCGCTGCCGCCCGCCCCGCCTGGAGCCCAACCCCGCCTCTCCCCCTTTCCCCTCCGCCTCCATTTCCCAGAGGGCGGCGGGGAAGCAGGGCAGGAAGTCTCGTGCGCCTGAGTCAGGGGAGGAGCGGGCGCGATGGCGCTGGAGACCCTGTCCCCGGACTGGGAGTTCGACCGCCTCGATGACGGCTCGCAGAGTGAGCGCGGGCGGAGCGCGGCGCGGGAGGGGCCAGCGCCGGGGCTGCGGCGGTAACGCCACGGGGCGGGGGGAGGCGCGGGCTGAGCCCCTCGCAGCCTCTGTCCCCTCTGCACCTCACGTCGCTGTATTCCCGGTGGGAACAGTGGGAGGAAGGAAGGGACGGAGGGAAGGAGAAGAAAGCGGTCGTGGGAGCTGAGCGAGGTCACCCGCCCCAGCTTCCCCTACGGACCCTGCCCGGAGAGGGGAGTCGGGCGCTCATCGCGCCCCTTCCCTCGGCCCTTCCTCCTCCTCCGGTTAGGCCTGCGGGGTGGGCAGTGGCGGTGACCCTTTTTCCTCCCTCCGCTCTCTCTGTAGTTGTCAGGGGTAGTTGAGGGTGGGGGGGTGGTTTTCCCAACCCTTCATCCTTCACTCCCTTAGGGGAATCGCCTCCAGTGCCACCAGCGCGGCAGGGAGCGGGCGGGCAGTCTTCCGTGACTTTCTTTCCTTGCACGAAGCGGGCAGGAGGAACGGATGCTTGCCGTGGGAATGGGGTTTCTTTCCTTCCCGATAGTATCTCCTGGCGCACCGATTTGTGCAGTTGTTTCTTCGGTTTGCTGGAGAAGTCACGTCGGGATGAATTAGTTGTATGCAGCTTCTGTTGGTGAAGGCGTTCTGGTATGGAGTTGGGTGGTCACTTGCGGTTTCACCTTTAAAAAAATTAAGACCTTGAGATGCTAAAGAAATTGACAGTGGGTTTGTGTGCCCGTAAAAATCCACGTTTTTCTCAGCCTGTGGAGGTGACCTACTTTCTAAACGTGGAACGTGCATGGTTGTCACACTGTAAAGCACACTGTAAATTGAATGGAGCCAAATTAATACACCAGGTGTTGCTGTAAGAATATGTCACTCACAGACCAACTGTTTCACGTAGAATGTAGTCCTAAGGGATGATGCTGTTTGTACTGTATTCATTTGATCTGGATTTCAGTGGAAACTGAAACTGGCCTGAGCTGAGGTTTTTGCCGGTTCTCTAGCTGCAGGGTGGCAAATGTAGCTTTTACTCAAAATACCACATTGCCACCAGTTTGGCCATGACAAAGTGCAGTTATGAGAACTTTACATGATATAATATGCTCTGTTAGCACCATCTTGACAGTGAACAAACAGGCTGATCTTCCACTGAGAGCAGCACACAACATTCTCCTAGAGAAAAGCCAAAGAAAAATCCTGTGACTTGAAAACTTGTTTTGTTGTTGCTTACTTTCACTTTATATCATTAAGCTTTAGCAGTTATAATGTTCTCAACTGAGGGCACAAGATATTAAGTCAGTCTCTCTTGTTGCATCTCTGTCCTAGATATTTATGGATAATGTACTTGCAAATCCTTCATGGCAGTCCCTTGAATGTTACTGATTTTATGGCAAGATAAGCTGGCGGATCTGTACTACTGAGTAGATCTCTTGCATTCTTCTAACTGTAATGCTTTCAGTTTATCACCTGAGGAGAAACTAAATCAAACTTTATAAGATTGTGTCTTATGAAGTAGTATGTATGCTGCTCTGAAGACAAAACAACTGCTTTCTGTGATTTCTTCTTCTTTCTCCATGTGAGCCAGTTTGCAGTTTGTTCAGGATTTGTTTTTTCTTGCTGCATCTTAAAAAGCTTCCCTCCATCTCAAAGTCATTTTTTATCAGTTCAACCCTGCCTATCTCTGGCTACCTAATACCTTTCACTCTCTTGTCTCTGAAATAGTGAGAAGCTATTCACACCTCTTATTTTACATATGATCAGTACAAGGTGGTAAATTGATGGCTATCAGTAAATGAGTATTTGGAAATATTTAATACAGCTCAACATAACTTAATATAGCTCAACATAACTATTACTATTGTTCAAAATCCATTTTGCTGCTGGAAAGGTGACTGAGTCTCTAGCAGAGTGCTGCTGTGAGATTTTTGTTTGAGGAATGCTGCCGATTTCATAGGGAATTTCTTTGAACAGCAGTGTCAATTTCATACTCTTGTATGACTTGGAAGCTTTTTTTGTTCTTCCTATAAAGCCTCAATATCTGCCACTTGCTCTGCTCTTAGTTTGTCTTTTGTGCAAAGGGAGGAAAAGGGAGCTGGGCAGGCACAGCCACAGGCTGAGCAGAGAAGAGATTCAGAGCAGCCCTGCAGAGGACTTAGGGGTGTTGGTCAGTGAGAAAATGAACATGAGCCAGCTTCAGTGTGCGCTTGCATCCCAGAAAGCCAAACATATCCTGGGCTGCATCAAAAGGAGCGTGACCAGCAGGTCAAAGGACGTGATCCTGCCCCTGTACTCTGCTCTCGTGAGACCTCACCTGGAGGATTCTGTGCAGTTCTGGTGTCCTTAACATAAAAAGGACATGGAACTGTTGGAACAAGTCCAGAGGAGGGCCACGAGGATGATCAGGGGACTGGAGCACCTCCCATATGAAGACAGGCGGAGAAAGTTGGGGCTGTTCAGCCTGGAGAAGAGAAGGCTGCATGGAGACCTCATAGCAGCCTTCCAGTATCTGAAAGGGGCCTGTAGGGATGCTGGGGAGGGACTGTTCATTAAGGACTGTAGTGACAGGACAAGGGGTAACGGGTTCAAACTTAAACAGGGGAAGTTTAGATTGGATGTAAGAAAGAAATTCTTTCCTGTTAGGGCGGTGAGGCAGTGGAATGGGTTGCCCAGGGAAGTGGTGAATGCTCCATCCCTGATGGTGTTCAAGGCCAGGTTGGACAGAGCCTTGGGTGACATGGTTTAGTGTGAGGTGTCCCTCCTGATGGCAGGGGGTTGGAACTTGATGATCTTAAGGTCCTTTCCAACCCTAATTATTCTATGATTCTATGAATACCTCAGCATATCTCTGTAGTAGGTCTTTGTACTCCGAATTTTCTAGCAGTAAAGTACTGAAGTTGATGTGGTGGCTAGGTAAACTCTGTTCTGCAGGGTTATGCATCCATCAGTGTTCTGCTGGTTTTCTGCAGCAGAGCTTCCAGAAAATGCACTGGAAGGAACCTGAAAGATGAGATGGATTTGATGGAATAGAATAGTATGATGATACAATTCAAGGGCCGCATGTCTGGACTGCATACTGCTGATGGAGAGCTTTTTATTTGCTTTGTTCCTATCTGTTTACAAGGAATTCAGTCTCCTTATTTTGACAGTGCCTGTGCACTGTCTAGGCTGCAGGTACAGGTAGAACCCAATGGCACTAATGCAGAACTTAGTGTAGGAGAGTTTACTGTGCTGCTTGGATAGGCTTTGCCGTCCATATGCCCTGACAGCTGGTGTTTCTGCTGGCTTCATAGTAGTAGCTTAGAATTAGTTCCTGGCTTCACTGCAGTCATTCCGCCTTCCAGGTCTCAGTTTTCCTGTGCATGGTCCTTCTCATCTTTTCCTTATTAATTTGTCCTTATTCATTCTTCCCCTAATGCCCAGTGCAGTGTCTCAGTCAAATATTCTTTGCTCAGAAAATGTCTGATAATTGATTCAGCTGTGCTCTCCCACTGAAGTAGTCACCCAGTACCATTTGCTAGGTTATTGACAATGTGGATGAGTAAGAGGTTAAGCATGCAGAATAGAAGAACATGTTTTCTGAACTTTCTAGAGCAACCTACTTGCTGAAATCAAAAGGAGCTATATGAGAGTAGAATCCTTGTTTGGAAACAGTTCAGTTGTTCAGCTGATTTATGTTCTCTAACTTTTACAGATAATCCTATTTTCAGCAAATGGCAGAAGATTGAGAGCTATTAGATTTGTTACCTAATTATGGGGAAGACACTTTAGTCTTCACGTCAAAAAGGATTGTACTTCCCTACTGAGTGTAGAACCTTGAGTGGTACTCATACACTCTGTAGTTCAAATTATGCAACTAAGTCAGTAACCATATATAATTTGGGGGGGGGGGTTGTATCTTAATGTGTGAAGAAAAAAGGTCAGGATAGAGTGAATGAAACTTTAGTGGACCAATTGTATTTAGACTTCCTTTGCTAATTAATGCCACTGTTCTTGGTGTTTGACCAGCTGAATGTTACCTTTTGAACCTACTTGCCCCTAACATTAACAGGAAAGCTGTGCATTTTAATGTCCAAGCATTAAGCAGACGAGAAGTTCTGATTGAAGATGGTGAATTTGAAAGGTGGAGGAATAATTAAAAGCTATAAACTTCTATGTACTGCCCAGATATCTTACTGAGAGGTACCAGAGAGTGAGTGAAAGGAGAATTGCTACTAATTCTCCTGCTACTCCAGGTGAACTGTTTAGACCCATTGCCTCAAAGTTCTAATATTGTATATGTACTGTTTCAGCCAATGTATTATGGTTTCCACAGATGTTTCTTTGCTCAGCATCTTGATGTGATTGTTAAGGTTTGTTAAGATCTGTTGTGGTTTGTTAAGATTCTAGCTTGAAAGAATGTACATTTAAAAATTTCTGCAAACCACTTTGATGACTGACATTCTTTAAGTAGTATTTGGATTTCTTTCAAACCAACACTAAGTTGTAGGATTGTTTTTAAACAAATAAGAACTTTGTATTAAAGATGTGATGGTGTTAAGGAAGAGTGCTGCAGCAAAATGAGGAATACAGTACTAGAGCTAAATAGCATCAGATTAAATATTTCTAAATAAAATTGAGATTGTAGTTTAGTTAACAGTCTATAAAATTGTACAAATGTTATCAATTCTCAGAAATTCATGCTGAAGTGCAATTGAAGAATTATGGAAAATTTCTTGAGGAATATACATCTCAGCTGAAGAGAATTGAAGATGCTTTGGATGACTCTGTTGGAGATGTTTGGGACTTCAGCCTTGATCCCATTGCATTAAAGGTCTTCATATATTTAATATGCATTGCAACTGTTATTTTCCTACTTTCTCCTTCCCTTCAAAACCTGAGATTTAAAAGGTTCATGTGTTTGTGCTCTTAAAATTTTGACTTTTGTGTTTGAAAAACCTATCCAATACTATTTTAATTATCAAGTAGTTAATAAATTGGCGCATATCGTAAAGGAAGATGGTTTCACATTATTCATTTGCAGTGTTTTGGTTACTAGTTGAAGTTAATTTATAGTTTTTCATGTGTTGGGAAGGCCAAGTCCAGCAAACCTCTTCCTTCTGGGACTAGGCTTCCAGAAGAGCTCAGTAATAGTTGTATAACTGCAGAATGAACTGTGTGTGTACTTGTAGTTGTGTTGTGACTTAATGGCCTTGGCACAGTGTTTTCTGTCTTCCAGAGGTAGCTATTTCCTTGGTCTTAAGTTCTCTGCAAAACATTGGGGTTTTTTTTCTTTTCACTGAATTTGCAGATATCATTTAAAAAACACTTGTTACTGTATGAAACTTGTCTGTTCTGAAGATGTAGTCACAAGCACTCATCTGCCTAAATGGTTTCAATAAACTCTGTGGGGCACCAGAGTGCTGGATGTACATGAACTAGTCAATATCATGGCTGAGTTCAGTACAAAAAGTCAGTGCCTGCATACAGCTATATGCTTTGCATCCTGTATCTTGCATTTGGGATTCTTAATTCATGTTTTGGGTTTCCTGAGCTGTTTTTTTCCTACATACTCCATAATGACCATGCTTTTGCATTCCAAGTTTTATAAGTAAATTGTTGTTAATGTTATATAGTATGTCTAGTTATTTGTCTTTCTGCCTAGAGCAAAAGGAAAGGTATTTCCACGTAAATGTGGAGAAAATTTTCTGCAGCATAGGCTGCCTGTAACCTGCAGTTATTTCTCTCTTATTACTGACTGAGATGAAACTGGGGAAGAAGGGAATACGTACCTAGTTGGATAAATGTAATTTTGGCCAATATTTTCTGAAGTTGTTTGGTTTTGTTTTTTAATTTTAGCTTTTGCCATATGAACAGTCCTCCCTACTAGAGCTCATAAAGACAGAAAACAAGGTAAGAGCTTTATGCTTAAAAGAAAAAATAAGTAAGAATTTTCTAGTTAAAACCAAGCCTTCTAGAAGTGGATTTATAGGTAATCTGTGTGTTTTCCCCCTCCCCCCCTCTTTGAGTCTAGGTTCTAAACAAAGTAATAACTGTGTATGCGGCTCTCTGCTGTGAAATCAAGAAGTTAAAATATGAGGTAAATTCAACTATCTTGTATTACCGTTTGTATGAAAACGTTTGCAGATTGGCAAGCTGATGTATAAATTTATTCTTTAGCAGTAAAGAAACAAGATGTGATGTCTAAATAATTTTTGTAGCATGATTACATATATTGTATTTATTAAAAACAAATTTCTGCTTTTGTTGTTAGGCAGAAACTAAATTTTATAATGGCCTCTTGTTTTATGGAGAAGGAGGTAAGTAGCTCCCTTTAAAGTAAAAGTTTGTAGTTTTGTTATTGCTTCAGATTATATTCAGTTCTACAATAAATATAATTTTATAATATGGATACATGCTTTCTCTGTTTCTTTGACTGATGGATGCTGAGTAACAGACTTTAAGGATATAGGGATGTATGTTAGCGTCTTTTCACTGTCCTGAGTTAGCTTTAGATAACAGTAACATTTATCTGTAAAGTCCTGTTACTTGCAGTGAGTGTTCTTAAATTAAAAGAGATTTTGTGGCAGCCTTATTTACATGAGAAATAAGGAGTGTAGGCTGTTAAGGTTGTATTAAATGCATAATATACAGCTTATATACCGTAGCTCCTATTTTTTCAGAGTATGGCATTGAAAACCAGTTTTTCACATATAAACGCATCCTAAACTAACTTATTTCATACTGGGACTAGAGTTTTACATTGGTTGTAGTAAAACAGTAATTCTTTAATCTGATTGTAATAAAACAATGAGACCATTGAGAAGTAACTTGGACTATGTAATTACAGTTGTTCCACGAGAAGTTGTAGTGTGTTGATATCATCTGCTTTTCAAGTGCAGGTAATAGCACTCATATTACTGTTCAAACCAAGACATAATAGAATACTGACTATAAGTCAATTCAATTGACAAATCATGAGATCCTACTTTAGGTGAAAGCTGCTTTTTGTCTTGGAGTTAAACTGCTAACTCATCCAAAGGCTTGGTCTTAAGCGTCCACCTTAAAGGATGCTAGTCTGGGAATAAGTGCAGGTCTTGGTCCTGAGCACTGAATATACTGAGTTGTTTTAAAGACGTATCGCCTAACTTTGTTTTGTGTTTCAGGAACTTCTCATAGTAGTCTTATGAAATGGCTTTTTAAAAGCTTTTCAAGAGCTTTGACTGTGATAGAAGTGTTGGGGAATGTGAAATTGTTGAGCTAGGGACTATTTATCGATGTTTTAAGTGCTATATGACCTGGTTCAGTTAAGGAATGTGAAGAAGTGTGGGTTTTGTTGGTTTGTTGTTTTATTTATTTTTTTTTTGTTATTACATTCTTACTTATCAGGCAAAGTTTTAAATATCTTAAAGTATGATTTTTGGCAGCATATCACTAGGGATTCACTGAGAACTTTTCCATGTTCCTAGCATGAAAAAAGTCAGACTGTTACAGATTAACATATGCAGCACCAGTTTGTTCCTGGTGGGTGTTCTGCAGGGAATGCTTGGGAATGGCAGGAACTGAGAGGTCAGCCTTCTGTGAGTTAGGCAGGGATGCTGAAATTAGATTCTCCACTTCCATATCCCTACTTGTAGCATCTGCTTTGATAACAGCAAGCCTGCTTACTTAAAACAGCTGGCAAAGCTAGTGGCTCAGTAATGGCTGGAATTTAAACAAATACTACTCTGGCCTTTTTCTTCTGTATAAAGAAACATTTGTTTTTTTCATCTTGTCCATGGAGTGACTAGGACTAATCCAGGAACTTTGAAAAGTTAGTCGGATAGTAAATAATTACTAGTGGATGTTCATCATAATATAAATACCTACTGCTTTCATACAAACTTTTTAAAATGGAATCTTTCATATGAAGTTAGCTATGCCTTTTAAAAAATTGTTTCTTATTCTTTATTTTCTTTCAGGTGTGATGGAGACTTTTTTTTCCTGCTTTGTATCTAATTTACAAACTGTAATTTTTAATGAGAAAGAAACTTCAAAAAGCCCAGCCTAGGAGAGCAAAATTAAAAGTTTTTAAGGTTTCATCAGTATGCTTACAATAGTACGCTCCACTTGTATGACAGACAAATGGCTTGGAGAGAAAGCTTCAATGTTAATTTAACAGATATGTTATAGGCTTTTGAAAGCGGTGACAAATGTTTGTCTTTTAAGCCACAGATTCCAGCATGGTGGAGGGAGATTGCCAAATACAGATGGGAAGATTTGTTTCTTTCTTGCAGGTAGAGTATGCCTTTATTTACTTATTTATTTATTTATTTAATGATTTTTTTTTTTTTTTTGGACAGCAATTATAATTTCATTTTTGCTTGCAAAGTGGATTTAACAGTCTGCAGTATCCTGCTTGCATCTTGCTGAAAGGCATTGCAGTCATTTGATACGTTACTATGTTTTGCCTGAATTTAGGTTGTTTCCTTTGATAATAAAGATGCCTATTTTTTGTGGTTTTAATTAGGAAGTTTTAGTTTTCATTGGACATTGGGAATGGATTAATTGTTTATGCGTCATTTTGTTTAGATGATAGAAGAAAGCAAAACTAAAATATGTACCTGGAAAGTTGCTTATACCTGACTCAAACCGTCAGAGAAGAGCATTCGTTTGTTACACAGTTTGGTTGTTATCAGGGTTCTTTGCATGAAAACAGGATCTGTGTTTCTTATGAGGATTTCCTGTGCTCTTGGATTTCAGTCTATTATGGTTTTATTTTTTTTGCCTTAGTATAGCTTAAATGACTGTTCCCAAAAGTGTTTGTTTTTATGCAATATTGCTCATAATGAAATATCTGCATTGAAGTAGAGAATATATAGAAAGCTTCCAGAATGTTTAAACAAATTCTAGTCTAACAAAGGTTAAAATTCATGTTCTTGCTGTATAGTGGCATGGCAATAGTCATTTACTGAGTCATAACAGGCTGAATGCTATAGGAAGTTGGTTCTCAACCTCTTTTTCCATGTCCAAGTGCAGTTAGTTGTTAGGGTATCTTGGAAGTTTGTTTCCCATTTCCCAAGCTTTTTGTCCCATCAACTTTATCATTTTCATATTTCATCCTTTATTTCTTTCTGAGCAGATGTTTGAGACTTTTTAGTGATTCTGAAATGAGGCTACTGTACAGTTGCGTTTTTTTCCAGACTTCTCCCCCCCACACTCCCATGCCAGGATGCTTTGTTCAGGTAGAAGTTGAGAACAGAGTGACTGGCTCTCTGGTTAGCTCTCTGCATTGCAAACCCGCTCTGCAGAACAAGTTTATGCTTATTTATAGGGCAAATGCTGATGTGTATAGGGTAAGCATTATGGAAAAATATAGCAGTTTTTCTTGTGAGCCTACTTTGTATATATGCTACGATGGCTCGCTGATTGTTGAGCAACTTTGGAAAGAAGGGAGATGCAGGGTGTTGCCCCAAAGGGAGAGTTACTCAGCTAACAGTGTGTACTTTCCCCTTACTGAATTTGTTCTTTTTCAGCTGTTGTGTTCCACTGAATCCACTCAGTACTAGTGTATATCCACAGAATTGAAAATGCTGTTCTGATCAGTGTTATAAGCATACCCCCAAGGGCAGTGTGAAAATACTAATTAAGGTGATAAGAGGAGGTGAAATGTTGCTTTTGTAGAGCTAATGTCCACTCATTGATTTATTGACTCTTCTTAGTTCAAGGTTTCTTGATTAACTAAATATAATAGCCTCAAATTTGTTATCCCAGTACTTTTTAATTATCCAAATATTACTGTGAAACACTAGTTAAGTACTCTCGATCCTGCAGGAAACAGTGTATTTGAAGAACTATGACAAAATTATGATCTTCTTCTATTATAAGAATCATAGAATCATAGAATGATTAGGGTTGGAAAGGATCTTAAGATATCTATTATGTAGCTGCCAATATGCATGTGCTGTTAAATTGGACTATTTTCTGGAAGTTTTAAAACGGCAACTGGTGCCCCTTGCCCAGGAAACATCATCTCAGTGTCTGTTAATCCATTCTTCTGGAATCTCTTCTCTTGTTTAAGCTGCTTTTTTAGAGCAATAAAAGTTTAAGAAGTAATGACACTTATGTTTTGTGAAAACTGGTGACTAATAGAAGGCAGAAGCCCAAATAAAATCTATTTTTGATGGAGAGGAAGACAGAATTCAGCTGTTAGCCAGTCTTCTGGCAGGAACACAGCCTGACTGATTAGCCAGTGTGGGCTGTCTGCTATGAAGCCATCTGTGTGCTGACTGGGTAGACTCATCATGTACTGACTTTTTCCTGATATTACAGGTTGCTTTAATGAGACCTTTAGAAATATTTATAAATACCTTTATAAAAATATTATAGTAGTTAAAGGAAAACTCAGATTTGTTTATCCTGTTGTTTAGGGAACATTGACTTGTTTGGGGTGTTTTTTTGAGAACAGTGTTCTGTGGCTTATCACTCTTAGAGTAGGTACAGGCTTCTTTATTAATTTCTGATTTGGATTTGTCTGTCACCAGCTGCTGAAGCCTGACTCTTGAATATAGTGGGGAAAAAGCACTGCCTTTGCTATTGGGTTTATTATTTCTGAAAACACTTGGGCACTGTTAAGTTGCTTCTTACTGTCCCTGATAAATTGAACCAGGAATATAAATAGTCCAAGATGTACTGGAAGCTTGTGTTTGGTAGCTTATTACCTTAGCCCCAGATCCTTTTTTGGAGTTGTTAGCAGGATGTTTTCCATCCTGCTATAGGTCTGTCCACTGACTTGGATTAGGGATGTAGTTGGACCTTGGGCTGCAAGTCAGTGGTTCATCTTCAGTGTTTTGGATGCAATGACAGTGTGTGTATGAACCGAGTGTATACATACAGATGCATTTTATTTTCTTGTATTTCAGGAGCTGTCCTGCTTTGTTACCCGATGTTATGAAGTGGTGGTGAATGTAGTGCATCAGTTGGCTGTTCTCTATACAAGCAACAAGTAATTATTCCCTAAAATGCTACATTATTCTTGTGTAGATAAAAGAATGTATAAAATATGAATGTTTTGTTTAAGGTGTGGTCATTTTTGGAATATTGTCATCTACAGATGTGAAGAGTGCTTTGCTGTGCAAGTTTGGGCTTCATAAGCCATTACAGAAGTGAATTTGTTTTATTTTCAGAAAAGTGCTTTTATATTATCATGGAATTAACTAGGTTGGGGAAGACCTTTAAAATCATCAAGACCAACTGTTACCCCAGGACTGCAAAGTCTGCTACTAAACCATGTCACTGAGGGCCTCATCTACATGGTTTTTGAACACTTCCAAGGGACAGTGATTCCAGCACTTCCCTGGGCAGACTGTTCCAATGCCTGATCAGCCTCTTGGTGAAAAAAAAAAAAAAACAGAGATAGAAGATATTTTCTGATTAGGAGGTATTATCTCTCTTTCATCTTTGCTGTGTTTGAGAGATTCCTTCCACTGACTAGTACAGTGGATACAAGTAGCTTCAGAAGGTAAAAAAATCAGATCACTTCCACAGTCTGTTTTAAATGCATAAATCTTGGTATATAATCCTGACAGAGCAACCATGATTTTAACACTTGAATTTGAGCTTAGTAAGGGCTGTTGGGTTTAGCTCCTGTGAAAACTGGAGAATATAAATGCAGGGCTCTTGGTTCCTCCCTGTGCCTGCCAGATAGGATAGCATTTTTCTTAGTTTTGTTGTCTTCTTGTTATATACTACAGCACAAGGTAGATTTTCTGCTGGATGTGTACCTTGGGCATGTCTTGATTAAATATGTGAAGGGATTTTATACTTTTGGGTTGCAAAGCTATATGTATCAAGGCAAACTACTGTCAATATAACTGAACTGGGAATAGCTGATATACATGTGCACTGAATGCACTCAGTGGTTTGAACTAGTCACATGTTGTACATTTAAAAATGTGATATTTGATCATAGTACACAGATTTCACAGAGCATGTCATTTTAATCAGATTTAATCCTAGGTTCTTCGTTTTCTGAAGTTATTATGTTAATGAAGAAAAATGTACCCTAAGAAACAAAGAACACACTGTGACACAGAGTTGATAAATATGCTCTGTTCTGAGGATTAAAAAGGCATTAAAATATTTATTTTATTTGCAGGAATGCACCAAAAATTATAGAGACATCTGGAGTTCATTTTCAGGTGGGAATGATTTGATAGAACACTTTTGCTTATGTCAGTATATGTATATCTTGATCCTTAATGTTGTGAAAAGCAGCAAGAAAGTGAGTTTCAAGTACAACTTTCAATCTGAAATCACCTTTAAAGGTTTTATTTTGGTAATCAGCTTTTTCTGGCCTTTATGTGGAAGGGCCTGGCATCTCCATGTTTGTCTTATTCTAGTTTACTTAGGGGAAAAGTGTTTGCCTGCTTCCTAAATGTGTGTGTTTTAAAAGTCCTACCTTCAATGTCAAAATAGATCAGTGAGCTTTAGTTTGTGTGCAGACACCACTTTGTTCCTTGTGTCACTACAAGCAATACTAAATCTTTAAGCTACTGAACCAAGAAATCTTAGATTTACCTCTGTAGCTGATGTCTTGTTGGCTGATAATTTATTGAATTTGCATAAATGCATTAAACTTCTCAATAACTACAGTATTTTCCTTTTTTTTTTTTTTTGTTTTAAACCAGGCAATGTATGAGCACCTGGGGGAATTGCTCACAGTCTTAATCACTCTGGATGAAATAATTGACAATCATGCCACTCTGAAAGATCACTGGACCATGTATAAGAGGTATGTTTCTGAAGATGTGAAAAATACTCCCACAGCATAAAAGATAAAAGCATGTGTGTGAGTCTTTGTTCCAAGAAAGTCAGTGTGAGAACATGGATATTCATAACTCTGAAGTTTTTCCAGAAATCTTAGTGAAGAGTGGGCCTAAGCTCCCTCTGTGTCCTACAGCACCAGTAAGTTTTTAAAGTGCTAAATGTTATATTTGCAATACAAGGTAGGCATGTTGACAAAGTAATAGCTGGTGGGATTTAAAATTATTCTGTAAGAAACCTAATTTCCTACAGATCTGATCTAAGACTGTTCTTGCCCATACTGATCATGGGGATGAGTGTACAGATTCAAGTAAGAACAGTATCTTAAGTAACAGCTGAAGAGTCAACAGTTACAAAGGTTGCTAAATTAGGGGGATAACCACTGTTTTATTGAAAGCCTAAATAAATGGGAGTTATTCAAATGCTTATGGCTTATACAGACTGAGTGGGTTTTGTTTTCTGTTTTAATTTTGGAGTTGCTTCTAGGCACAAATGTGGGCAATTAAAATCTATTATCAAAACAGTACAGGATATGATAAAACTGTTAGCATGTTCTAATTGTATGTACGTGTTCCACACCTACTCCTTGCAGGCTGCTAAAATCTGTCCATCACAACCCTTCTAAGTTTGGGATTCAAGAAGATAAACTGAAGCCTTTTGAAAAGCTGCTGTTAAAACTGGAATGCCAGTTACTTGATGGAATGATATTTCAGGTACTGAAATCAATATTCCCCAACATATTAGTGAAACGTTATTACCTTAAAGTGACAGTCTGTTTAGAATGGCTTGTTTGTTTTTATTTTGTTTTGTTCTGGATATAATGACGTGTGAATTTGGCTCTTGCATCTGTGCATGGGGATAAAAAGCCTGTATTGTAAGACATTTCATTGCTTCTCTTATGTGCTAGAACTGTGCCAGGCTTTGAATGGTAGCAGTTAATGCTTACTCTTTTTACAGAATTAAAGAGATGAAGACAGCTTGGTATTAGGACTGTATATTATCAGGGAGTTTGTTTTTCACCAGAAATTTTGATAGTGGGCAAGCTTAAATAGCATAGGTCCACTTTATTTTAGTTGCAAGTTAAAATCTCCTCACCTATCTGCAAAATATGTGAAGTGTGACCTCTTATTAAATATTTTCTCTATTTCCTAGCATGAAAGACAGGTAGCTGCCATCAGGTACCACTTCAGTGGGTTATACCTCTGAAACATGCAACTGTATGAGTAGATGAGAAGGTTTATGTTTTTTCAATACAATCAACTTAAATGTGTTCATACAGGAAGCCATGGTTTTTTTAGGGAAGTCTGTATTTGAGTTACTGAAATTGGAATTTGTGGTAGAGTGGGCAGAGAATAGTGTTGCTGCATCTGGTCACAGAAGTCAGTTGAATAGGACTGTTGCTCAGTTCTTACTTTATTTAAATCTTAAATGGCATAGGGAAGAAGGCTTTTTTTTTTTTTTTTCTGTAAAAGCCCCCCAAAGGGAAATTGTAGATAAATAAACACAATTTAGTTTATTCTTTCAAAGGACATTTCTACCAGCTATCCATTTTTCGTCTTATATTTCTCTATTGTTGCACTGGGACAAAGACTTCATTACATGTTTGAGACATGGGTAGGATTTATCTAGTATGCATTCAGAAAGTCTCCCTTCCTGTCCTGCAAATGCCCCTTCCTAACAAAAATACAGGAAAAAATATTCTTAAATACAACTCCATTGAAGACTTTTCTAATACCTTTAGAAAATCTGAAGTGTGTGTCTCTTCTTTGACTGCTGTGTGGGTTTGGTAACTTTTTTAAAACTGTTACCAGTGGTGTGGGGTTTTATGCAACAGCTTCATGCACCACATACTACAGGCAACCTGCATGATGATCTTGTTTAGTTAATGGATAGTTAGTAACACACTATAATAACGCAAATACTCATCCAGTTTCTTATCACAAGCACATCAAGTGATTTCCTTAAAAATGGCCTATAATGGAAGTATGAAGTAAATAAAGATGCTTTTTGAATGTTAAATACAAGGGAGGTTTTTGATGTTTTCTGTTACTGTACTAAATTTAAGCATAGTTAAAAATCTGTATGTCGTGAAGTTTCAGACTAACTTCAGTTTAATCTTAAATCGCTTTGCTATGGCAATATATTTCTCTTGCAAAATCAATGTTCTTTTAAGGTCTGAAATTCATGGCATTACATAACACTTTTCTTTTTTCCTCCCCCTCCTTTTTTGCTTAGGCCTGCATAGAGCAACCATTTGATTCTCTAAATGGTGGAGTGTCGGTGTCAAAGAACAGCACGTTTGCTGAAGAATTTGCTCACACTCTTCGCACAGCTTTTGCAAATGTTGAAACCAAACTTGGTAATGCAAGCTCATGCTTCTCCTGCCACCCTCACTGTTTCTAGAATTATTTGTATTGTTTGTCTGGGAGACTTGAAAAAACAGTGTAATTTTTGCAGGTGAACCTTCAGAAATTGACCAGAGAGATAAATACGTGGGCATCTGTGGCCTCTTTGTACTGCATTTTCAGATTTTTCGGACCATAGACAAGAAATTTTACAAGTCATTGTTGGATGTCTGTAAAAAGGTGAACACCTTATTCTTTTGTCAATAATTAAGGGGGAGGAGGAATTTTCAGTAATGAGGTAGATAATTTTCTTAGTTGCATAGCGCAGACTTTGGAAAAGAAAGAATACACAGTTTGCCAAAAAAAAGTCAGAAAGCAGAATTAAGATATTTTTTTTTTCTACTTTTTCTAATTCCCCCTCCTTTCATTTTCCTTTAAAGATGGTCTAAAACCTGTGCACGCACTTAGCAGCAAGGTAAAATAACTTGAAATTAATGCTTCTTCTGGAGATTAATGTGACACTGAGGACAAAAAATTGTTGTGACTGTTGTGGACTGAATAAATGTTGTGGGGTTTGACCTTGGCTATAAACATGTATTTTGAAAGACCTCTAAGACCAAAGGATATTTGATCTTTTTCATATCATGTGGCATTAAGGAATTATTAAATTCTCTAATACTGTTTGGAATCACTGAGAGTGGTGGTAACTTCACCTGTAGTGCCCTTAGTGGACTTCTAGGGGAGAAACATTTGTAACATTAATGCAATACTTTGTAGAAACAGGGTGTGCAGAAATAAACTGTGTGTTATGTTTCAGAAAAGGCAGTAAGAAACATGTGTGATACCATAGTAATTGTTGTAGTTACTTATGTTTATTGCTACTTTGTATTACCCCCTTTTCCCTCCCAGGTACCAGCTATCACGTTAACTGCTAACATTATCTGGTTTGCTGATAACTTCCTGATTCAGAAGATACCAGCTGCTGCCAAACTTCTGGATAAGAAAAGTATTCATACAGTTAAACTGCAAAGGGAAAACTTTCTACAGCAGAAGGCACAGTCACTTACCAAGTATGTGTCATAAATACTGCTTCATGATGTTATTTAGCAAGTAATTGATAAACACAAGTGTTTCTTCATTCAGTGTACTAGTGTATTATGTCACCAGAGAAACAATGTTTTTGGCAGTTCTAAATACTTGATTTTCAGTTATTTCTATTTCCATATTTTCAACTTCCTTGTATTTAAATGAGTGTCTGGTAACCTCAGCTGCTTTGCTTTTTCTGTGTGTTTATGAAGGTAAATCACTAGTAGGCTTTACAGAGGACTTTTCCTATGCTTGATGATGAGACTTCCTTTGCAAGCATTTCTTTCTTCATGACCATTTTAATTGCTTCTTTAATGATCTTTGAAGTTATCAGTATTTGAGAAGGATTCTTCTGTTCTGTATTCCACATGTAGTTTACAGGTTCACTGCCTTCTTTTAAGCTCTTTCTGAAGTATGTTTAAAGATTAACTTTTTCAGTCTTTCGAGCAAGTGTGCTGCACTGCATAGGGAGATAACAGAGCCAGGGCTTCTGTTTACATTGCAGATCAAACCAAGAAGGTGGAAAATGTAGTCTGAGGGATAGAAGTAAAATTTTAAGTTTTGCTGGTTGTCTTCCGACCATGTATGCAAGCTGGCAGAACTAGGTTGGAGGGGAGGAGGGAAAAGCAATTCCATGCCTACATGATTCTCTGGCAGATTATTTTCACTACATACACACAAACACACATTTCTGTTTCAATCCTCTTTTTCCTGATTTGTGTCCTGCCATCTGCAGGAAGGTTCAAGGGGTCTGAGTTCTTTCCTGGGATTTAATTCCTGGATGGAGCATAATTGCATTGCTGCTTTGCTTCTGGTCTTGGGTGGTGGTACAAGTAATTTCTTGCAGCTCTTAAGAGAAAGTTGAAAAAAGATGTAGGTATTCGCAGACATTTCATAGAATCATAGACTCATTTAGATGGGAAAAGATGTTTAAGATCATCAGGTCTACCTGTTGACGTGGCATTGCCAACTCTATCACTAAGCCATGTCCCTAAGCCCCACTTCTACCCATCTTATAAATACCTCCAGGGATGGTGACTCAACCGCTTCCCTGGGCAGCCTGTTCCAGTGCTTGACAAACCTTTTGGTGAAGAAATTTTTCCCAATATACAGGCTGAACCTCCCCATGCACAGCTTGAAACCATTTTTTCTCATCCTATTGCTTGTTACCTGTGAGAAGAGACCACCTCTATCTAGCCTCCTTTCAAGTAGTTCTAGAGAGCAGTAAGGTTCTCCCTGAGCCTTACTTTTTCCAAACTAAACAAGTAATTCCCTCAGCTGTTCCTCATAAGACTTGTTCTCCAGACCACTCACTGGTTTCACCAGTTTCTGTGCCTTTCTTTGGACATGCAATTTTGAGGATATTGTAATAAACCCCAGATTTTGCATCTGTGATTTGCATTCTGCCACTAACTTTTTCTTGCTTTTTTTTTTTTTATGAGTTCTTGCCCTGCCTTTCATAACTGTTGTTTTAAATAGGAGTACTCTTTAAAGTGGATTTTTTTTTATATTGTAATCAATGACCTGAGTACATTCCTGCTATAAGTACTACAATAAATAGTATTGTAGTGTCACAGTTCTGGAGTATGGAATAAATAGCAGTTTTGAAAATGAACTCTACATAAAACATTTAATTACAACTAGGGTAATCCAAGCAGGTGAACTTCTGGAGAAATGTTATTTAAGAGCAGTGTCAGTCTGGCATTGATGTAATGACAAGTTATGTGTGTGTGTATATATAAAACAAAAATTCAGACTCGGAGGGGAAACAATTAACATCAGTGTAGGGTTACTTTTCTAGTGTTTAAAAGCATTTTCTAGCACTTTTATTTACTGTTTTAATTTAAAGGACTGTAGTATATGCACTATTAAGGGGGCCGTTGTTCTCTTGAGAGACAGAAGATTTTGACTCTTTGGGGTATGCTTGTACAGATAAAGTTGGCAGCCTAACTAATCCTTGCCTATAGAGAATGAAAATGTAAATGAGTATGAGGTTCTGATACTTTTGGAAACGGTAAATTATAATTTCAGGAGCCTAAGACTTAACTTACTTCCCTTACAAGAATTTAGCATACTCTTCTCATTTGATAAGTGAGCACCATTCTTCGTTTTCTTCTACAGAGATATGCAGTCATATTATGTTTTTGTGAGCTCATGGATGACAAAAATGGAATCTATCTTGTCAAAAGAGCAACGTGTGGATAAGTTTGCTGAAGATCTGTCAAACCGCTGCAATGTCTTCATCCAGGTGTGCAGTCTTTTAATGTGGTGATGCAGCAAACTGATGGTTTGGTGCAAGTTGTTGAACATGAGAAATCACCGAAGTTCTGTGATCATCGGTGTGTTGTTTTACAATGTGGGAATTCTTCTAAAGCTTTAAATGCTCGCTAGGTAGTCTTTTAAGTAAACCTGTAAAAGTCCTTTCCATAAGGCATGTGGGGAAAGTGAATCTGGCTAAATATTTAGGAATATTCTCTGTAGTAAAGGTTTTGGTTTAGGTTTTATTTTCCTTTTGAATCAGTCATGAGGTATGTAAGATGGACTGAATCACTGTCTAGTTTTATTTAGCACAGTACGTACTTCAGTAGAGGTTTTCTGTTGTTTCATTGTGCTTTGCCTAATGATTGTACTTTGCAAGAATCTTACTATGTTCCAAGGCAGTTGATTTTCTTTTGGCCTACTAACAGCATGTAGTCTTAATGTAAGATGCGTCTTATTTTGTTTTTTTTTCCTAGTTCTTATGTGCATTGATCTGACAAGAATAGGTGTGATAGAAGCATGATTCTGAATCTTCTGTATCTAAAGGCATGCATATACTAGGATCTGTGGTTTTTATATTTGAAGTGTTTGCAGTTGGACTTAAAGTTTTGCTCTGTAGTGAACTGATTTTCTTGCACCACTTGCTGTCATTTCCTAGTTTGCTGTGTTGTTTTTTTTTTTTTTTATTGGTACTGCTTTTCCTTTGAAATGAGTTGATTAACATTTTTGTCATGCTGTATGTAACAGACATTGCATTTAAAAGCTTAGCATACATTAATCTAGAAATTACTGCTTTTTTTTTTTTGTGGGGTGGATAGTTATATCTAGACAGTATAGAGCTGTAAATGCTGTCAGTGTATTTATTCCATGCAATCTGGAAGCTTTAGGTTGTTTTTGTAGTGGGCTGTTTTTTTGGGGGGGGATGGAACTTGTATGATGGGTTGGTTTACAATAGGCCTGAAATTACTAGACCTTTGGGAATGTGTCATTTAATTCACTGACCTATGTTTAACTTGAATGTCTCCAGAAGAGGCTAATGATCAGATGATCTAATGACTTGTAGGCAGTTCCATAGCATGTGTGCTTAGTGAAAGGGCCTCATTCAGCTTTGGGATCTCAGGCTTGCTTACTAAGTGAAGTGGTAGGTTCTCTAGTGTGAAGAGGTGAGAGTTAGAGGTCTATCATGTATGAAAGAAAATAGAGAGAACTTACTTGCTTGATATGTTGTGAAAAATATTCTTTCTCCCCTCTCCCTGTACTCATTTTATTTTTAGGGTTTTCTTTATGCATACAGTCTTAGCACCATCATTAAAACTACAATGAATCTCTACATGTCAATGCAAAAACCTATGACCAAAACCTCAGTGAAAGCTCTATGCAGACTTGTGGAACTTCTGAAGGTATGTCACTGGATGAAAATTGTTGACTTGTAGGTCTTTTACAGAGAACATTGATCAAACATGACATATTAAAACCCCACTGAGATGGGAAGTGTTTTTGCATGGGTGGCTTCTTGTTCAAGTCTGGGTTTGGTTAGAAAACAGGAGATTTGGGAGGCTAGAACCAGTTTTTGTGTAACTTCTCACTGGCTTCCTTATGTGGTGTCAGAGAATGATCGAGGTTGGAAGGGACTTCCTGAGATTGGACTCAACCTCAGTAGGTCTGGTCCAGCCTCCCATTGCTCAAGCAGGGCCACCTAGAGCTGGTTGCCCAGGACTGTGTCCAGATGACTTTTTTTTAGTGTCTCCACGAATGGAGACTCCACAGCCTCCCTGGGCAACCAGGCTGTCTCAGTGTCAGGTTATCTAAACAGTCAAAGCGTTTCTGGGTGTCCAGAGGGAACTTCCTGGGTTTCAATTTGTGCCCATTGCCTCTTATTCCATCATTGGACGCCTCTGAAAAGAGGCTGTCTCTGTCTTTTGCACCCTCCCTTCAGGTATTTATATACATTGATAAGATTCCTCCCTAGTCTTCTGTTCTCCAGGCTGAAAAGTCACAGCTCTCAGCCTTTCCTCATATGTGAGATGCTCCAGTCCCTTAATTATCTTAATGGCCCTTGGCTGGACTCTCTCTCAAATATGTCCATGTCTCTGCCATACTGAGAAGCCCAGAGCTTCCAGGTGTGGCATTACTAGTGCTGAGTAGAAGGGAAGGATCACCTGCCTCCCCCTGCTGGTAATACTTCGTCTAATGCAGCCAAAGATACGCTTGCTGCTTTCTTTGCAGCAAGGGCATGCACGCTACTGACTCACATTCAACTTGGTGCCCACCAGGATCCATAGGTCCTTTTCTGCCAAGCTGCTTTTCAGCTAGATGATTCCCACTGTATATTGGTTTATGGGATTGTTCCTCCCCAGGTGCAGGGCTTGCACTTCTGGTACTTTTTCCAAAGGGAAGATAAACAACCAACCAACCAACACCACTTAGATCAGTCCTGACACTTTTTTCTGCTCCTGAATGGTTTAACTTTTCTCAGTTTATAACAGTTAGTTGCAACTGCTACTAAGAGTATGTTACAAAGTGTAAAGAAATCTGGTGTTGCAGTGTGGATGAGTCACAGAGCATAAAGCCAAATTCTAAAGGCAACAGGTTCAGTAACTATCTGAACTATTGTGTTTTGGGATTGACTTTAGGCAATAGAACACATGTTTTACCGAAGAAGTATGGTTGTGGCTGATTCTGTGACACACATTGCTCAGCATCTGCAATATCAGGCTCTTCACACTATTTCTGTAGCCAAGGTAGGTAATCCAAGTTCTAATGGTTAATCTTTCCTATGTACATGTTTTAAAGTCTTAAAGTATTTTTCTTTTGCAGAATTTGTAGTATAGTGCTGTATCATAATTGACAGATATAAGCTGTCCAGTGGGTCAGAGCTTTGCCCTAGAAACTGCACAGCGCAGTGGTCATGTGGTTTTGATCAAGAATGCTTCCTCTCTTCCTCTAAACAGCTGCATCTCTTGTCATGGTCTTGTGTTCTTTTTTAGTTTTTACTTCTAGTGAATTTCACAAACTGACCTTTTATTACCTCTTTTCTGAGGTACAGTCTTAAAGCAGTCTATTATAAGTCTAAGCAAGCAGGCTGTTGCTTTGTTTAAATCTTTGTCTGCTTGGCAAAATAGCAGTGGTTAATACATGATGGCTAGCAGGAGTCTAATGCTGATATAAATTCACTGTTTTGCTGTGGGGCAAAGTGGCTACTAGTGATGAGACGTTGTAGTACTTGCACATTATGTCTTTCTATGAACAAGATCAGTTTACTACACATTTTGCTTATCAAATCTTGAATTTCTGAATTCAGGCCAAATAAGAAAATGAGATTTTAGTTTGTCTGTTCTGATGTACTACTGATTGTTTATTCTTTCATCACATTCAGTAGCAGAATTGTAAAATACTTATGCTATTGATATTGGTGCAGCTATTAAACTTTAATTTGATTTGCCTTTAATCTCGATTTGTGTATCTGACACCTCCATGTTTTACGTTGTGCTTAAAGTTGTCGTTTAAAAAACAAGATAGATATAAATATGTATGTATGTATATATCAAGAGTAGCATGAATTGAAGAAGTTCCAGGCTTCAAAGCTAGTAAGATGCATTTGTATATCTTCAAACAAATAGTTCCCATATATTCAAATATAACTTTCACAATCTTTTCAAAAGATATCTGTAATTAATTTACAAATTATTTCCAAATGCATAAAAATGTGGTGAGACTTGTGTATTGAGAAATATTAAAGAGAACAGGTCTGTGAACAATTTTTTTGTTTTGACTACTCTGAAAATATGTAAAAGCAAGTGCTGGTAAACAGAAGGTTCATTAGCACTAATATTTTTTTTATGTGCTCCACTTTGTTTCTAAGTGGTTTCTAAGATGTAGGGTCTAAGGTTCTTAGACCTTACACCACTTAGGTGTATATGCCTCTAAGGCGTGCACCTAGAATAGCTTTAGCATGTAAGGTTAGGAGCTTCATGTTGAACATTCTTAGAATTAGAAGAGGGGTTTTTTTGCTCTTTCATTAAACCACACCTTTTCTGAGTTATGCTACTACTCACAACTATGTCTGTGACTTCAACCTCTTAACCAGGAGACTTGTTCCCTTTGTTCATGCTTAATCTTTCTGATAAATTAAAACTTGTAGAAAATTGCAGGTGATTGTTATTACCATGTTTATACATCTTCTGACTGATCAGCTGTAAGCTGGATTATTACCAATAACAGGGAGTCAGTGATGAAAAACTAATTGTAATTTTTTTTTTAACATTTTATGTACCTTAAAACTAAATTTGGCATGCAGTCACATGCAGCTTGCACAGTATTTGTGTACTGTATGACCTGAGTCATGTTCCTGCTGAAGTGCACATATTTGAAGTGTATAGATAGGTAATAACACTGAATTGACAGGGAAGTGAATCTGGATTCAGTTAGCTCTGTTCACAGATAATAACTTGTTTGCAGAAATACTCAGTTTATAACAAGTCCATAAGCCTTGGAAAGAAGAGGTAAGTTGTTACTTTTGGGCTTAGATAACTTTTCACTGCCTTTTTGTGTCTTTCTGTTAAGAAAAGAGTAATTTCTGATAAAAAGTACAGTGAGCAACGCCTGGATGTCCTCTCTGCTTTGGTGTTGGCTGAGAACACCCTTCATGGGCCAAGTACGAAACAGAGGCGATTAATTGTTTCCCTTGCACTAAGCGTGGGAACACAGATGGTAAGTGTCGTGATTGTTCCAGACCTATATGTGCTTGGTGTGGTATCTTGTAAAGAAATATAATTGTGTCTTTCTTTTTTTTTTTTAATTTGTTTGCACAGAAAACTTTTAAAGATGAAGAACTCCTTCCCCTTCAGCTCGTTCTGAAAAAACTAGACCTGATCAGTGAACTTACAGAGAGGTAAGTAATCGTATGTAATGTAAGGAAAGCAGTGTAGCATCACTAGGGGAACTGGATCTTCACTGTGTGAATTGCAAAATCTGGTAGCTGCCTGCTAGTGGTGATTTTTGCATGTACTGTAGACCAGGGATAGACAGAATTCCAGAGCTAAGCCTGAAGTTTGCTGGTCTTTGAGCAAGTCATATGTACTTAACTTTCTAATTTGGTAATCCACTTCTCTGACGGTTTAGAAATTCTATCATTTTCTTGGTTGACTTGGCTTTATGTTAAGTGAAAGTCTTCCTCTTAACCCAACTCCCCAGTTTATAAGCTAATACCACTCTGAGAGATCAGGCTGTCAGTTCATGTGTGACACCATGTCTTACTGCTGCTGTAGTTTCCGTGAATGCTCAAGTTACACCATGTTGACTGTCTGAAGGCTAGGTAAATACCTGGGTTCCATGCATACTTTATGGCGAGAGACAAACACCTCCAGTGGATGACTCATGGGATGAATTCCTGGGATAAGTGTTGTACACTTGTTGTATCAATAAAGGCCTGTTTCTTTTCTGATTTACAGGAGAAACTTGGAATATATGTTTGAGCTCTCAGTTATTAATTGCATGAATAGGAAAATAGTTATTTAAGATTTTGCTGTAATGTAAGGTCTAATTCTTCCAGAGACTGAGTAAACTTTTTTTTCTAAAGCACGTAGCTTTTATTTATTAGTAGTCTACTGGAAAACAAGAAGTAAAACGTTTGTTATTTAAACACCTTTCTTTTGAAGGACAATGTGTCTGGAACATTAAAGTAACCATGTAAAACTTAGGCTTGAAAAACAGTTGTCTTTAGTTTAAAAGCTAAATATCACTGTGTTAGAAGAATGGCCTCTTCCAATTCTGTGTCTAATGAGTAATTTTGTATTCTAGAATTAGAGCGCAATGTGACTGTTGTTTCTTGTACTGGCATCGAGCAGTCTTTCCAATCTATTTAGATGATGTGTATGAAAATGCAGTTGATTCTGCTAGATTGCATGTAAGTAATACTGTTAGCAATGTCAAGAAGCTGCTGCAGTGGGAGGGATTTGGAGGAGGAGAGGAAACAAATTTCATTAGTCTGAAATACTTAAGGAAAAAGCTCAAAAAAAAAAGGTGAAACTCAGGCAAGAGTTACTGCTGAGACAGAATTTCCTCCTCAGAGAATACAAAAACAATCTTTGTTCTAAATCTGATTTAAAGCATTATCTGTCTGCTCTAAAAAAATCAGGTTGCCATTAACTCTGGTTCTCTGTGTGTCTGTGTCTTTGTTCCTCTCTTCGTTAATTCATTCTGATTTGAAAAGAACACCTTTTGCTAGACTTGAATATTAAAAGTCTTCCACATTGTGGTTACATGTTTCTAAAGCACATATCACTATGTTCGGTTGTTCTGTAGCTTTTTCCATCCTCCGTCTCTCTGTCCCTCTTTGAAGTATCAAGTATTTGCTGCAGAAGTGAATCATGCTTTGGCATGATAATCCTAATAAAAATCAGTCATCTGTTTAGTATTGTGCATGCCATGGTCAATTACAGTGCTAAAATGAATATAGTAGAAATAATCTCATGTAAAATAGCTAATAATTTTGACCTTCCAGTAAATGCATCAGTAGCAACTAAATATGTCAGATGAACACATTGAGTGGAAACTTCTGTAGGGCTTATGAAGTCTATGTTTAATAATAGTGGGAAGACTAGCAATTTTGATTCATTTGTTAGCTTTAAACACTGAGATGCTGTTGACATGTCTGTCAATCTGTTGGTTAAGCATAATAGCTTCTTTTTTCAGTATATGTTTAGTGCACTGCGGGACTGTGTACCTGCTATGACACATGCAAGACACTTGGAGTCTTACGAGGTGCTTCTGGAATGCTATGACAAAGAAATCATGGAAGTGCTTAATGAGGTAATCTGTTGTGAATGGAAATTAAAGGCAACACTGTGCTTAGAATATCTTACAGGCCAGCATCTTTTGTACCAAACCTGATATAATCTACAAAAGTAGCACAAAGATTGTGCTTTTTTTTTTTGTGCTTTTGAGATTGATGTAAAAGGAAGCATTCACTGATGATTCTGGTTGTTTAAGACATGTTGCTGATGGTATCTGGCTGGGAACATGAAAATACTGCGCTCTAAATTACTTAAGTTGGCAAAACCTCAGTTACAGATTTGGCTATGAAGACGGAAGAGTGCTTTTAGTTAGATTAGGATCTGCTCTATGAATGCCTAAAATAAATACTACTGTTCTTTGTATGCATGGCTTTTAGTAGTGAAGGCTCTGTAAATGTAGTTAGTCTCTTTAGTACATTATTACCTACAAGTATGAAGGGTGATTGACAGAAAGAAAAAGAGAATTTGGATTTCCCAAGTCCTAGGTTTTTTGACCTAGGTTTTAACTTATTAAGTAGTTCAAACCCAGACATTATATATTCTGCAGAAAATGGGGCCAGATTGCTTAATGCAAGACTCTTGCGCACTGAGTTAAGTGTTCTTACTATCAAGATAGCCTGAAGCCTAGCTCTCCTTAAGATTAAAAATTAGAATACTGTAGTTTAAATTGTGTTAAACTCCTATAAGGAAATTTTAATCATGTACAGAATGACATTAGGTAGCTAAATCTTTATCTTTTCTGAGCTACTGTGTACCAGAACAAGGACAAAGGAAATGAATAACTCTAGTTCCCGTGTATTGATTCACTCTGACTTGTGTTGCCCTGCCAAAGCAAAGCTGTCTTCACTGGTTGAATCAGACTTTCATGTATCTCTGGAGAGAGATGTTAATTCTGTGAACAAAGCAATGTAGGCAGACATTGAACGTGGCTTTTTTCTTTTTCCTTCCCTGAACAGCATTTGCTGGACAAGTTATGTAAAGAGATAGAAAAGGACCTGCGCTTATCAGTTCATACGCACCTAAAGCTGGATGACAGAAACCCCTTCAGAGTTGGTATGAAGGATCTAGCTCACTTCTTCTTTCTGAACCCAATACGTTTTTTCAATCGATTCATTGACATTAAAGGTGAGGAGTTACACATTTTCCTGATTCCATTAATTTCAACTCTGTTGCACTTTAGCTTTTCACTTCTTTCCACACTTCCCTAATTAAATGGGTAGTATTGTTTTAGTTCATCCTTGTGTATGTTTACAGCTTATGTAACTCACTATTTGGACAAGACCTTCTACAATTTAACAACTGTAGCTCTTCATGACTGGGCCACCTACAGTGAAATGAGAAACCTAGCAACGCAACGCTATGGTTTAAGTATGACTGAAGCACATCTTCCCAGCCAGACTCTGGAGCAGGTACAGTGCCTACAGGATATGAATGTTGTTTGTTCTATTACACTGTCATACTGGCTAGCCATTCAAAGGACTGAGTTCTTGAAAGTACCAAGAGTAGAGAACTGTTTGGAAAGAGTGATCTTTAATTTCTGGTTGACTTCTGAGGCAACATCTTTAGTTACCTTTGGAGATAACACCAATATTAGTTAATTTCATGTTGAACTTGTATAATTTTTGTTTTTCTTTTAAACATTAGATTTAATCAAAGTGGTTATATAAAGTCAGAACATTTTCTTGACAATTCAGTATCAGCAATTTGGCAAGCAGTACAGCTGGAATAAAACTGCCACAAGTCTGGAATGGCCTTTGAATGGTGGGCCTTTTCGCAGGTTTATTGCTTGCTTCTCAGCAGGTTCTACTCAGTGATCATCAAAAGCAACTCTTTCACAGGCTGGACATTGAGGACTTTGGGACATCTATGATTAGCTTAATAAGAGAGTGACTCGGAGCCTCCTAGAAACTGCTAAGCATTGTTACATATAAAGTAGTCTTGCAAAGTTTATGGTGAAGGCATTAATTGTTACAGAGTTGGTGCAAAAGAAATAAAACTTGCATATTTTTGAGGACTTTGCTTTAAGAGTTTTAGTATCTTGGTTATTCCTGGCAGTTTGTTTCATTCTTTCATTTGGGTTAGCACATTGGTGAAACCTCTTAGAAATACATTCTCCCCACAAAAGAAATGTTTGGGATGGCTGTGTCTTCCTAAGTTGAAGGAGGGCATAGAACTAAGAACTCTAGCAGCTTCTTGATACAAAAGTCCTCTGCATGAGTTTAAGTTTCTGGCTTTGGTTTTCTATTGGCAATATTTGGCCATCACAGTGTTATAAAGAATTAAGTCATTTCACAGCATTGATTTCCTAACATTCATTCTGGTATGAGCATTACTTCAAAACAAGGACACCCCAAACCCCGTTCCTCCCCAGTTCCAGCAAAATCCTGATAAAATCCTTGGCACAAGTGGAAATAGGATGTAATAGACTAAAGAGTATCCTCTCTAGGCACAATGATACTAAAGGGACTCCTACAAGCTAAATTTTAATTGGGGCTTGTGGTAGAGACTGGAGGATTCCTTACTTTCAGGGGAAGCTGGGAGGAAAACAGGCAGAAGAGTAAATGTTAAAACACAGACTCAACTTTTTTTCTCTTTTAAGCATTGTCTTGTAGACACTGAACAAAAATTAAGAGATTCTTTATTTTGCAAAGTGAAAACGTTGCTTTTTCAAAATGCTTTCAAGTAACTACAGAAATAGTATTTGTTCGCCTTAGTGGTTAGACACGTCTGTAGTTCCTGAGAATTTTTACCATAATAATTCTCAATAGATAATATTGTTTCAGGGTCTGGATGTTTTGGAAATCATGAGAAACATTCATGTTTTTGTATCCCGCTACCTCTACAATCTGAATAATCAGGTAAGGTATAACCTGTGCTTTTTTCTGGCTTTGGCTCTTATTTGAAGGGATTGAGAAATGTAGAAGTAGATGACATGTAAGAAAACCCTGAGCTGAACATACTTAATAATGAGCTGTAAAACAGCTGTTGTTGTCTAGAAAAACAGTTTTAGGGATGCTATAGATAGATCTTGGAGAATGTTCTCTAAGCATGTTCTGAGTACAGTGTGCCAGTAGGATCACTCCATGTCAGATACTCCGTGGAGCTGTTAGAAGGCAGCAAGGACAGTTGACTGCTATCTAAGGGCATACTATATGTGATTTTTCAACTTGAAAAAACGGTATCTGCAGAAGGGTTATTAGAGAGATGAAGCAATGAATGACATGGAGAAATATGTACAGGGAACAACCCCTGGTGATTTCTGAAACAGTGAGAATGAGGACCAGTATGAGAAATAGTGACTTCCTTAAAGTAAAGGAAATACTTTTTTCTTCATAGCACATAATTTGGTAGTGGAATTCATTACCATTGTATATTGTGGGGCCAAAAGTGCAAACAGGTGCCGAAAGAATTTAGATCAGTTAATGCAGGATATAGTCTCTATAAATGTGTTTGGGTGCAGCATCTGCCTTGGAATCATTGAATCACCACTTTGCAGAAATTGGAAGAACCAACGAAGTTTATTGTATGCATGCTGGGTTTTCTTTGTTCCTTCCTAATCGTCAGTTATTATCCTTAGAAATAGGATATGGATTACCTACGTTGATGATTTATCACAGAATCAGTTTTGGGTAAATAACTTAATTTTATTTTTTTTCTCCTGCTTCCCAGATCTTCATTGAAAGAACAAGTAATAACAAACACTTGAACACTATCAATATCCGACACATTGCTAATTCAATTCGAACTCATGGAACAGGAATCATGAACACAACAGTGAGTATCTTCTGCACTGTTGTTGGATAATTTTTAATAGTGCACAAAAGCCTCCAGCTCTTGCATCCCCTGATGGTTTATTTGGTTATGCAGTTTTAATAATGCAATAATCATGTACTGCATGTATTAACAAAATAATTCAGTTCTTGGACATGACACAAATCAGTACTACAGTCTCTTAGGAGTTATGCCATTTCCAGCTGTTACATAAAAGTTAATGAAGAGATCTAAAAACACATCAGAGAAAATATAATGTTCTGGTGGGACTCTGAATTTCAGTGAAGTCAATTCAGTAGACAGTTCCATATAAATACAGGTTACTTGAGAATCTGCTGAAAACAGGCTGCTGGATATGTTTGTTACTTTGCTAACTAGCTTGATTTTATGATTATGATTATTATTATTATTCCAGGTAAATTTTACTTACCAATTTTTGAGGAAAAAGTTCTATATTTTTAGCCAGTTCATGTATGATGAGCATATCAAATCCAGGCTTATCAAGGACATCAGATTCTTCAGGGAAGTCAAGGATCAAAATGATCACAAGGTATAGTAATTTTTGAAGGATTGATAATAACTTGGATAAAAATGCTACTTTCATGCAGCAAACCATAGCAATCCTATTATTTAAATGTGTATCTCCAGACAAAGTGAGAGATTTTGTCTAGCAAAATGCAGTGTTATACAAGTCTGTATTCAGATGGAATTGTTTCATTATATCTGTAAATATGTTGGGTAAAATAATTGTCACCTGAAAATGATGATTTGATGGAGTCATAGTCTGTTTGGAGGTTCTAAACTTCTAGTCCTCATCATGCTTAACAGTTATTAGCAGTTTTGAATAATAAGATTATTCAGATTGAATCCAAAATTATGTGAACTTGTAGCACTTGCTCCAGTATGGCAAGATTTGGGATGAAGGTCTGACTTTCAGTGCTGGAAAATCACATTTCTCAAAAATGTGAGAGACAGTGCATTTAGTAAAACAGACTGACAGCTTCTTTGTATGTCAAGTGCTTATTTCTTGTAGAAATACTCTCTTGTTCACAGTAACACTTCTATTTCACTTCTGAACTTGCCCAAGTGACTTAGCCAAATGATTTCTGTGCACTAAAATGGGCCAGCAGGTGTATAATTTCTAAAAAAGCTGTAGATGTGAGGTGGGAATATATTGCAAATATAACTTTATTGACATGATGAAAAAAATTAAGGATAATTATTCTTACAAATTACTCTCAAATATTTTTCTAGTATCCCTTTGAAAGAGCAGATAAATTCAACCGCGGTATCAGGAAACTTGGAATAACCCCGGACGGCCAGAGCTATCTTGACCAGTTCAGACAACTGATAAGTCAAATTGGTATGAAATGCTATGTAAGACAATGTCATATGTTATTAAATGGAAGAGTTCTTCATTGTCTTATAACTTAGCTTTTAGGTCAGGCTAAAACTAGATTTAACTCCATTCAGATGGGAAGTGCTTCACTTGTACCCCATGTGAAATACTCTTGCTCAGTTACACAGAAATGGTCCTTGCATGTCTTAATCTAAAATACAGCTACACTTGCATAAATGCCTGTTCCCTTCTGACTTTTATTCAGATTGAGTATATTTCCCAGTAAAATAATAGTACTGTTAAGTTCATGTATTTCAAAAAATGGCCATATATTCAGTTGAAGGAACTTTGAGTGATGCATGACATTACAATGGTATTTTCAGCCATTGATGCTGTAGATGTGCAGGACTAATCTGAACTTGCAAGTGTTTCATGTGCCCAGTGGAGAGAGTTTGTACTATTTTGCTCTTACGCTATCACTGAAGTGAGCACCACCTTGCTAGATGGTGCATTTGTGTTTTGTTTCTCTACATAGACTTGTGATGCCAGGGTTCAGTGTAACTTCATTAATGTGGCTTTCAGAAGAGTTTCTTTGCCAGAAGTATACGGCAACTCCTATAAGATCTGAAATGTATATTAAAGTTATGAAAAGTGTGCATGTATTTAAGTCATTATGAATTACTTCCTTGCTTTTTTTTTTTCTTGTTTTTAAAGGCAACGCTATGGGTTATGTACGAATGATAAGATCTGGTGGACTTCACTGCTGTAGCAGTGCAATTAGGTACTTAAAGAAATACTTCCTTTTTCTGTCTGCTCCTTCTTGTTCCTTTGCTCCCTATTTATGTTGATGTTCCCTAGGTTCTTACAGTCCCCCATAAATTTTCAAAAGGTCCATTTTTATGCCTTTAATAAAGTGATATTATCAAAACCAGTGCTGGAATTCAGAACTGTACTACCATTGCCATAAACCACTGAAAATCAGATGAATTATGTGGAAAAAAGCTTCAAAAGAGTTAATAGAATTTACATGTAAGTCATTAGTTCTTAATTAAGTCAGTAATTCCTGATGTTAATCACTTCAGGGTGCCTTAAGGAAAAATAGTACAAGCCTTGAGGAACTTGGGAAAAACGTTTCTTTGATACTTCTTTCTGTATAGATGATTGTGTTTATTAAAACTTAGTGACTTTTTACAGAAATAGTTGTTTTTCTTGCAAATAATAGTAAGCTTACAGTTAAGGGAAGCAAGTGTTAGAGAGGGGAGAGATGTTAGCCTGATAAATGCAGAAGTACAAATAATGTGTGTGTTTTAGAAGTGAATTTAATAGTGCCTGGGTGTGAATGGTATGGCAGATAAAATCAAAGTAAATAACAAGTTACGGTAGATACTTCAGTGATCATAGGCAGTTGAGCATAATCCTGACAAACAGTAAATTTTCAGGTTTGTTCCTGATCTGGAAGATATTGTTAACTTTGAGGAGCTGGTGAAAGAAGAAGGGCTCTCAGAAGAAACACAAAAAGCAGCAAGGTACCCTAACATCATGCTTCTGTGATCTAAGGCAGGGATGGGATGACAGAATTGTAATTTTAAAGTTATAAATGCAGTTATTAGTTGTCTGTGTGTGTGTGCTAAAAGTTCAAATGACTTCATGCAAAAATACTTATTTCTCTTCAAAGCAGAAAAAATAGAAGCAGTCATTTTAAAAATGAGAAGTGGCATTTGTAGCAATAGACTGTTAGAACCTGGTTTCTTGATAAAATCCTTGTGGTTTAAAGGCTAATGAGCTTTCCTCACCTTGTGTCTGATACCTGCTTTTAGAATCTTCAGGGCCTTAGGAAAAAAAGCTGCGAATATTCTATTTATAGACCTTGTTTGAGAGAATGAAATCAAGAAACATGATTCAAGGTGGCTGTAGAGGTGAGGTGTAATCTCAGACATTAGTCTGAATGCCGAATTGTGGGTGTAGCCAAAGGAGGAAGAGAGGGTTGTTACCACAAGGTGTAAGTAAGCAAAGAAACTCCTAGCAGAAAGCAGGTAATAGCATGACTTATCCTTTGCAGGCAGTTGGACTCTGTCCTTGGTGACCTCACACGTAACTTTGCAGAGGGAACAGAGTACTTCAAAATGCTTGTGGATGTGTTTGCTCCTGAATTCCGCAGTCCAAAGAACATGCATTTGCGGAACTTCTATATAATTGTTCCTCCACTGGTTAGTGTTTTCATTTTCACTACTAACTTTGAAAGAATGTATCACATCAGGTTTGGGTTTAAATACGTTGTTTTAGGCTTCTGACTAGCATATTCTGCTTTCTTCCCTGATTATGAGTGGGATTGTTTTGAGCGTGGCTTTGTTGATAGTTGTTCAAAGCCACGTTTCTCTTTATTTACATAACTACATGCGATAGCATTCAAAAGGTAACTTGAACTTCTGTTTGAATCAAATTTGGGGAAGTCAAGATGAGAAAGGAACCTGGGTTCCTTTAATTGTCCTTTACTTGCTTACATGCTTATCTCTAGTAATCACCAAGAGTATGCGAAGCAATAGACTGACAAGAACAGCAAAGATGTACGCTTTTTTTTTTACTTATACATATGCAAATATTTTCTAAAGCTTAACTTTCTTCCCCCAAAATCTAGAAAAAAGGTTTTCATACAAAAATGTCTGATGATGGGAGACACAATTAGCAGAGTTTTAGGCAGGGAATTATACTGATAGGTAAGAGCATGTATAAAAATACCTTTTAAGATTTGTGAGCACCTCTTGATGATTCACCTCTTGATGATTTTCACTCTTTCAGACCCTCAATTTTGTAGAGCATTCTATCAGTTGCAAGGAGAAATTGAATAAGAAGAACAAAAGTGGAGCAGCTTTCACTGATGATGGGTTTGCTATGGGTAAGTTTCAGCATGCTGACTAGCCTTTGGCTAAGCCAACATAATGGATATTTGCAAGAAAAGGTTTTTCTGTTTGTATTTTATGTGTTCCTATAATTAAACATTCCATAATTTAAATTTGGGTTGCCTTGGCTTCAGCAAAATGGATCTAAGGGCTATTGTTGCATTCAGAATCTCCTAAGCATGGAATAGCTGTGTATGGGAGCAAACAGATTTGTTGTATGTTGATGCTCCCCCATTTCTTTCAAAGCTTGCAGATCTCAGCTGAGGAGAAGGTATGCAAGTCTTTGGGTAAGTTATGAGGTTTTCAAAAGTTGAAGCTATTGAAGCTTGTTCCTTTATTGTTTTTTCCCTGTTAGATTTAATTGTAAATTAATTGCAATTTGAATTTTTTGTGAGAATTATCAACACAAGCTGATCCATTAAAAACATTCATAAAACATTTTACAAATTGCATGTTGACTTTGGTACATGGTTTTTAATGACTACAGGTGTGGCTTACATTCTGAAGCTTTTGGATCAGTACCAAGAGTTTGATTCTCTGCACTGGTTCCAGTCTGTTAGAGAGAAGTATGTGAAGGAAATCAGAGCAGTAGCTAAGCAACAGAATGTGCAGTCCACAAATCAAGATGAAAAACTACTACAAACTATGAACCTTACCCACAAGCGACTGGAAGTTTGTTTACAGGTAGAGCATGGCTGTCATTATCTGTTCTGTACTGAGTTCTGCACTTACCCATTACAATTCAGGCTTCTGATGGAAGTTATTAAGAGCAAAAACCATAGAGCATGGTCTTAAGCAGTAATACAAAAAGAGTGTAAAGACTTGATGTGTATGGTCCAGAGAGGATGTTGTGTTTATGATATTTGAGTGAGGAAGAAACTTGACCTGGTTGACTGGAAGTCTTTCCGCATGGAGTTTGAAATCAAATATAATGCAACTAAAACCTAAATGCTTAAATAGGAGAGAATAACTTTTTGGTTAAATTTCTTTTAACAAAGATTTTATGTAACACTGTGATCCCGTAAGAGTTTCTTAGAATTATAGAATGGTTTGGGTTGGAAAGGACCTTACAATCATCTAGTTCCAACTGCCACTGCTGCAGGGGATGCCTCACACTAGACCATGTTGCTTGGCTGTTAATTCTGAGCTGCTAAGTTGAATGATGCACTAGCTGTTAAATAGGAGAAAGATACATTTGGATTCTAAAGCACAGCAGTTCAGGTTTCAACAGTGGTGTAAATGCTTTTCATCTCATTCTGCTTTTGATTTGGCATGGCTGTGGGACAAACATATAGCTGGCTGTTTATAAATAACCTGTGATGATGATGTGTAAAAGCACATCTGTTGAAATAGATAAAGTCCTATGTGTTGTCATGACTCCCATGAGTGTGCACTGTTTGGTCTTCTGCTATTAAAAACCCACACATTGCTGAACCTTGTTCAGGAGCTGATCAACTTTGTGGTCGTTTAAATGTTTGTCTGGCATGATTTTCCGTGAGCAAATTGCTCCAAATTCTCTCTGCTGTTACAAACCTCATTTTCAGCCTCAGTAGTGACAGTTTTATTGCACTGATTCTGCTTTGCTTAAATTACCCTTTTAAGTTTTTGGCTGACGTCTGCATTGTAAAATGCATGGAACAAGGAATGAATGGAGGAAGTTTTTTTTTTCCAAGAGTGTTTAAGTCATTTAGAAGTCTAGTTGCCTGTAGATGCTTCTGAAAACTCCTGTTTATATCTGCCTACAAATTCATTCTTGTGATATACACTGACACTCCTTTTCTGTATCTTTTCCCTTAGGAATTTGAACTCCTTTACTTCTCACTCAGTAGTGCAAGAATATTTTTCAGAGCAGATAAAACTGCAGCAGAAGAAAACCAGGAAAAGAAGGAAAAAGAAGGTGAGTGAATGCTCTACATAGAATATCTTGGCTCAAGAGAGGGTGCCTTAGTGGGGATGGTCCTTTCTTGATTTTCTTGCTTCGATTCAGTATTCCAGAAGGAATTTTACAGGGTTTAAGGGTAATTTGAGGAATAAAGAACAGCTCACAGAGGCTGCCTTTGGAATGGGTGCATTTCAAGCTGGATTTGGGGGTGTGGAGGGGAGAACAACACGACCACAAAGGCCCCAAAAAACCCAACCAACCCCTAAAACTCTGGGACAGGGAGAATTGCATACTTGGAGTTAATATTAAATTCCGTAACTTCAACATCATACTTAACCTCTTAATTACTAATTTTGACAGAGAGCGCCTTTTCTGCGCAACCTTAGCTGGTGTGAAATAAACTTGGTGGTTTATTTCACAATGAACCTGGTGTCAAATAAGGTAGTTTTCACCTGTTATCTAACAGCTGTTTTTCAACTTCTGTAGGCAGATGATGCAGATACTATAAGTGACTTTCAGATGTTTATGGTATATTTTGGTTTACCATTGAATTATATTCAAAGAGTAAGATCTTAATTTGTGGTATGGTCTCTTGACTAGATAAAATGAGTATTGGAATGATCAAGATGCAGATATGCAGTTCAGTCACAAGTGGTTTATAAGCTGAGGTAGCAGTATATTAAAAATGGAACTGGTAAATAATTTTCCACTGTAGTTCTGTCAAAAGTGTAAATGACCTGTGAGATTACAGTCACTGGAGCCAAAGATAGTTATCTTCTGTACTGGGAAAACAGTTTGTAAAGAAAGAAGCCTTTTAGCATGAATTTACATTAGATCATATTCAGTGAAGCTGCTCAAATAGTGGTTCAACTCAAAAAGAAGTAAAACTCAACTAAGCATTGTGGTGGGTAAGAGTAGACGTATTGCCCTGACTTCTTTATGAGAGCATTGTATGAATTACTTAATTTTAGGTTAAATATTCACTGTTGTGATAAATATACAGTTCCCCCAAAATGTTTTATGGTGAGAAAAGCTTGAAATGTGTACCAGGGTGAAAAGTTTTGAACATGGCAATACCTTAGCCTTCTACCATATTATTTGGGCTCGGACTGTGCAAGATGTGTGAGCACGTGTCTTTACACAAGCTCTGCTGATGGGAGAAAACTTTCACTCCATGTGCTGATAATGGTGTTATCAAGTATGTTAGGACATCAGTATAATACAGATAAGACTTCGTTTTTACTGCCTTGAATAAAATGATAAAACATGATCCAGGGCTTCATTTTCTGTATCTTTTTTTATTTTGTAGAAGAATGTGTTAAAACCAGCAATGGCGAACTCCCCAACTCGATGCCTGCAGATCCCGTTGTGAAATGATGTGTCTGGTATGGGTGATGATTACTTAACTCAAATAATTCATGTTCTCATCATCAGTAACACTCTGTAGGGGATAAACGCTCTAAATTTGATTTACTTGCTCTGTTAAACCCAAGAGAGAACATACAGTAGTATACTAGCATTCAGTAAGGCTAGGTCAGTGTTTGTATTTCCTAGAGGAACTCCTGTTTTTCAGGAGTTTCCATTATTTACATCACTTAGATGAAAATAATGATATAAAATGTTGACCCTGGAGGTAGTTATTTTAAAGTACAGATTAAAAACTTACTAATTTTTAGATGCATTCTTGCGTCTCTAACATAGTATTAAAAAAAACCTCATAGGCCACTGGTCTAAGGTTTGAACTGATGCATCTCTTCAACCAGGAAAAAACCAAACCAAGCTATCGTGCATATTGGTTGTCCAAGAGAATAATTCAGACGTATTTTTACGCAGTCCTGTTGTATTTAATGCAGTCACAGATTACACTGTAGATGTAACAGTGTATGTTGTGACTGCATGTTAGTTATCACACAAAATGGAAGTCCTCCTTGATGTTTTATTCAACAAACCCTTATTACAACTACAGAGAGTATTTGCACTGTGGGATCTGAGGATCCTGTCAGGCATTTATTTATCCCTGCTAGTTTTTAACTCTTAGATCAGAGAAAGGGGAAAACCAGAAAAGTTAATGTAATAAATTACTTCTCATTTCATACCCAAGGTCTGATTTGCATCCACAGAAGTAAGGAAATCCAGAGCCAAGACAGAACCACAATCAGCTCTTCCTTTTATGACCAGACACTGTGTGATGGGTGTCTGTAACTATTAAGTGATCTTACAGTTCATGAATATGTTGTGCCTAATCGCAAGTTTCAGCCTCAATGCTGTATTTCCTGGCCTGTGTAGGCTTGTTGTACCCTCCGTGTTGTTCATACAGTCTTACATGCCTGATTGTTAACAATAATTGCACTGCAGGCTTCAGAAGCTGCTGAACACTGTGAGAACTCTGTATAAATGTAACATCCATTAATGCCTGCCAGTAGAGGTTTTAGACTGTGCAAGAGTTACTCAGATTCCTAACTTCAGTAAGTAGCTAGACTTAGCTTAAAAGTAAACCCCACTCATTAAAAGATAGGGTTGTGTTTTCGATCTCCCAGAACATAAAAAAACTTCTAGGTCTTACTAACTAGAATAAACTACTCCAGTCAGTCCAACGGAGAATAACTTTTTTGGGGTTTTGTTTTTGGCACTCTTACTGTAGTTTTAGACCATTCATGCCAGCTTCTTTCATCTCTTCACATTACAAAAAAAGTGATGTTTTAGTGGTTCAAATTGTTCCACCCACCCTGGGTCACTAGCTAAGACAATTCCTGTTATAATTCTGATTTGCCCTTTTCTGCCATTCACTCTGATGTTCAGATGTTTTGTTGCAACTGGAAAGACCAGACTGATGCTGAAGTCCTTTTGGTCCTGGAAACATGACATAGAAGCTTAATGGAGTGTATGAATCAGCTGGACTCTCACAAGTTTTGTTTTTAATGCACTCTCAGTGCAGAGACTGCCCTAAAGAATGCTGCATCACTTGAGTTATAATTTTTGTTTGTTTTTTTTTTTTATTTTGATACAGGTATTTATTTTTTTTTTTTAATTTGTGTACACTTCCTTTTTTGACCAAATTGTGCCCACACTGAACATTCAGTAGTGCTGCAGAGATCAGCTGCTGTGCTGCTGTTGCTCGTTCCCCTCCTGTTGCAACTGCAGCGTGTGTATTTCCATATTCCTATCCCAGCTGAGGTCCCAGGAGTTCTTGGCTTGCAATGGCCAAGCACTGCATTTCCTTCAGCAGCTGCAGAATCATGCATAAATGGGGTTCAGTCCTCCCTGGGTGCACTTGCTAGGTAGATATGCACAGTCAAGACATTACCTGCACACTAATAAAATCTGTACTTTTCCCTCCTCCTAGATAGGAGACTCTCTTTTGGAAAGACACTGTCTCGGATAGGAAATACACTGCAGTTGAACTTGACATGGACTGTGCATTTTCTCAACAAACTGCTGTGGTTCTAGTGATGGCAGTTCTGCAGGCAAAACATAAGTCTATTTTTATAGAACCCTGTTTAATCTGGGAGACCTGAATGTATACTGTATGTGGCAGAAATGTATGCATACACACAAATATGTACAGTGATAGTATAGCTATTCTTGCAAATACAGGATTGTAGTTTGTATTTCCTCTTTTCTTTGTCATGTAGCAGCATATACAATTTTTCTCAACTGAAATACAAAATGGGTTCTGGATTTGGATGTGTCACACACCCCTCTGTCAGCAAGGGGCACATTAAATCCTTTTTCCCTTCCACAAGGAGCTGGAAGGGGGTGCAAAGGTCTTGCTTGTGGTGCTACTACTATTCTCATTGCTTTTGCCCTCCTGTTCTGATTATGGGAACAAAACAGATCCTGGGCTGGAGATGAGACTGTGGAGCTAAAACATAAAAATCCCCCAACCTCCCAGAGGTGATAAAAGGAAAGTGAGGATGATGAGTTTGCTCCAGGGACATAATGCAGGTCTGTAGACGTCTTCCTTCAAGACAAGGGCAGAACTAGGCTGAAGTGTGCCTGCCCTCATGTGCTCAGTCTTGTGTCAAGCAGTAGCAGCTGCTGTGCCAGAGGCATCTCAATCTGCTTCTGGTATGACACTGTGCCCTTTTGTGCCAGAAGCCAGGGGGCTGCCTTGCTGGTCCTCCTCCCAGCATGGTAGTAAGGGAGAGTGAAGCCACCTGATGCCTCACTCAGCCCCCAAGTCAAAAGGCATTTGCAGTGAGTGGTCTCTTCAGTGATGGTCCCAGAGGCACCCAACTGCTGTGAGGTGCATGGTACTGGTGCTGAAGGTAGATTCTGTAATTGGAAGTGAATTTGAGTTTTCATCTGACATCCATTAACAACAGCTGTTTTCAGCTTCTCAGGTACAAAGGACCAAATGTAACACTTAATGTTTCCTAACTCGGTGTACAAAAGGGTATTTTGTTACCTCTGTCTCTTTGGTTTGTGAGTAGAGAACATTATGTATATAAAACTGTGTTAATAAATGCAATTTTGAGAACCTCATTCTCAGTGTCTTCAGTAACATCAGTTCAGGAGGTGTTTGTTTATTTGTTTTTAATAAGACAGCTTCAACTTTTATGAAGTTTTTGTCAGTTACCAACAGTTTTCTTCCATGGTTGTTTTAAACATTCAACAACTAGCTTAAACTGAATTTATTCCATGTCAAACACTTGCAAACTTGGATCTTTCACATTCTACTTACAGAAAATCTAGTTTCTGATTAAGTGACTGAGTTAAGTTCAAGGAATTTCAGTCATTTGTTCTGGTTACCTTATCTTGATTAATACAAACTTCTGGCATTGATTATATCCCCCCAATACCAAATGTTTGTTTTTGCAGAGTACCATTTCTCATGTTTTCAGGTTAAACAGGAAGGGGGGAATAAAGTGAACTTATTAGCCAAATCCAATTTCAAGAAGACTAGAATAAACTCAAATAGACTATGAGACTAGTCAATATATTGTAGACTTACAATCTAGCATTTTATTACTCAGTTTCTCAAAACCAAATATTGCTGGTAGATTCAGCTGTTGCATATCACCATAATGTTAAAAATACAAAGAATTCTTCTTATAAAAGTACTTATTTGTCCTACAGTTACCACCTCTGGCAGCTTTGAAGTAACCTAACCATAGAAACAACTGCAAACAACTAACACACCCCCTTCTCTGACTACTCCTGCTATTTGCATGTCAGTGGTATTTAGAATAATAAATCATGGAGGTACATTCTGTCCATTATTTAATTACAGATGGTGTGAGTGTGGTCCCAAGGAAAGTAAGAGTAGGCACTTAGATTTGTTTTGTAAGATTATTCTAGATGCAATATAAAAATAGATTATATTAACAGGAAAAATTTAGTGTTTAACAAGTTGTTTTGGAAATAGGCTAGCACAAAAGAGAAGTCTTGTTACACTTAAAACTAGACTAAAAATAACTTCATCTGAAAACAAACGTAAATAGTGCATGTTTAGCCTTCATTCAGATGCACATCATCATGCAAACCATGGAAATAAGACTATGGTGGGGAATTTGAGGCTGGGTATTTGTTGAAGGAGCTGATGCTTGTACCAATCTCAGTGGAACTGCAGACTGCTGGCCAGGTCAAGGTGAAGAAGCGTTGATAACCCTTTGTGGCTGACAGCAGTGCTGTCCCAACAGCCAGCAGAAAGGGGCTAATGCTGAAACATTCCCAAGGATTGTCTGCTTCCTGGGCACACCTCCACACTGCACACTTGCAGATGCACAAGTCCTGCTGCTGTTCCACTGCAAATCCTGAGGAATCTCCAGTGCAGATACCCCTCTCCCTCCAGCAGGAAGACGGGCACTGACCTTCTGTGTGCAAGATGGCTGAAAACATACTCCTTGCTGCTCCTGCTCCCAGGCTGCAGGCAACTACAAGAGTCTGTTATGCTTCTGATTCCTCCCCTTCTTCACGTATGGCTCCGTCCTCTTGTGACTCATCATTCAGAAGAATGAACTTCCCGTCGTTTGTGAATGGCACAGACTTCATTAGCTGAGCTAGTGCTTCTGGATCCTGAAGGGAAAAATACCACAAGGGAGGTCAGCAAGCTGCAGCACTCCTTGAGGAGCACATGCTCCTCCCAGCAGTTTGCAACTCTTGGTAAGGTTTTACAACTCTTATGACAAGCTTTAGACTAAAGATTTGAAACTTACACAATCGTTTTTGGTTCAAGTAAACCCACCCCTTGAGTATGTGAGGGCAACAGTCATTCACTTTGAACTTTTATTTTGCTGTTCTTATCTGGCATTGCTAGAATTACTGAAAAACAAGGAGAAAATAACTGACTACATTAATTATTATACTTGTGCTTATTGCCTGTGACTAAAAGCTGATTCCCTCAACTGTTCTGAAACCTCAGCAGCAAAAATATGCAGCATATGTTGATACATTAGCGTCACATCTTTCTATAGGTAAAATTTCTCTAGTTAAGTGATGTTGCCATTTAAGTGAAAACCACTTTACCTTACAGTGTTTGGGGCTTTTTTACGACTTTGCTCACAGCTTCCATTCCAACACGACCAACTGAATTTGTATAGTTCTGAATCGGATTTAGGGTGGCAAAATTTTATCTAAAATTAAGCTACTGCAAAGTCAAACTGAATTTATCTTCACATGAACTACCCAGGGGCTGGATTAAATAAGAGTGCTCAGGACTTTGGCATTAGGAAGAATCGCAGTTCTCCTTTCATACACACACCAGGGGTACTTAAGAGGGTGCTGCCAAAAGTACAACAGGATGGATCACAATGCAGACAGGGAGAATGAAACAAACTTACCTTCTTTGCCTCAATGATTTCTTTTCCCAAGCTAATGGCATAGCAAATCTAAAACAAACAAAAAAAAAGTGTATATATATATGTAAAATTCAGGTTTGGGGTTTTGTTTCTTAATTGGGCCTAAAACACAGAAGTGTCAGTGCACACCCAGTCTTAAACACAGGTCTAACAGCAGAGGTGGAATACGCCTTCTTTGCTAACTACATAAACCGATGTTGGGTTCTGCTTCAAAGCTCACTTAAGCTGGTAAATCATTGTACTCAGTTTTACTCACCAAACTTTATTTCCAAACCCAGGGCATCTTTCCAGTGCATGTAAGACTGATGTTGTTTTTTAAGACAAAAATTCTCCAGCACATTCCTTATTTCTAATAGCCTGTTGTTATCCCATTGCAGTGTATTGTTTCACCATACCTATTGGTGTTAACACAGAACGACTGCCCTGTCTTTTGAAAGCTTTACAGATGTGCATGTCTTAACATGAGCTGATGTTCACACTTGTCACTGCTCATGCTTGGCACATGCTTCCCCCCCCCCTTCCTCCTCCTGGCACATGCTGCTGCAGCACCTGTGTGAACCTTTTCAGACATAAGCTATCAAAGGCTCGCATCTTCTTGACAAGAAACAGCTGCTGTTACTTCTGTAGCACTATTTCCCAGATGTGTAAGCCAAGAAGACCTCTTTTCTAAAGTAAGTATTTTATCAAATGTTATGCAAACCTTTTCCCCTTCTGTGTTGCTCTCAAAAACATATGCACTCATGGATTCTTCTCCCAGTGGCTCGCTGAGATGGACCACAAAGCCAATCAGTCGCTTGTTATCCTGATGAGCAGCAAACTGTGTCACAGTGGGGAGGTCAAACTGGAAAAGTGTCAAAAAGGATTTATTTTAACCAGTATATAGTTAGCTTGGTTGAGAGCTCAAGTTCATGTGACTTGAGTATTCAGTGCTGTGGTAGAAAACCAGGTTCAAAACAGAAGTTACTTACACTTGTTCGTGTAACTTGGGTCTGAGGATCTATTAACCTGTGATTGTGTGTAGGGGACAAAAAAGATTATTTTAGAGTCACTGTCAGCAATTTCAAAGTGCTGTATAATAAGAAGGCAATTGCTGTAGCAGTTCTACAGCTGGGGAAACGTGCACAGTCAAGTGCTTTATCAGTGATCCCAAGTTCGTCG